AAAGCGTGGTCCGTTCTTGCTTTTTTTTTGGAGCGTCAACTCTCGCTTTTGCCGCTCTGGCGGCAAGTTACTATGGAGATTCGGATTATAATCCTAGGATTATTTCGATTTTGCCGCAGTCTGACCAGGCCCTAAGACACAAAGGCGAGTATCCTGGATTTGGAATGCCGACTGGTTGCATTTTTTGAAGCTCCGGAATTTTTGGCGAACCAGGCGTGATTTTGACTCCACGTCTGTTCTGTCATGTCCCAAACCTATAGAAGTGCTGCCGCAAAGGCTGCCGCAAAGGTTCCAGCGAGGCGCAGTCCCAGCCTTGAGTCCACGCCATCCAAGCTGTCAGCAACAAGCCGAAAAACGCAAGCCAGCACACCACCTGACGTGATTCGCGCGCAAGTGTCCCTGGAGACCGATAGCAATGCCAAGGGAGAGGACAGTGTTCAGAGTCTCCTCTCTGACATCCTGCGGGAGCAACGTGCTCTTACGGAGCGCTTCGATGTCATGTCATTGGAATTTTCGGCCAAGATCGATGCTGTAATGGCCGAAAATCGGGCATTGAAGGAGAAGCTGGACATCTTCGAGGCTCGCCTTACTCGTCTTGAGAGTACAGGTACGGCAGCGTACCGTAGATCTACGAACGGTGAAAAGGACATGCCGCCCCCGGAAGGGGTTGTTGGCACGTGCAACGTCGTCAACTTTGCTGCTTTGGTGCAGGAAGAAGTTGACCGTCAACAGCGCTGCAACAACGCCATTGTTCGCGGCATCCCGGAAGCGGACGACAGCCTATTTGACGACTGCATCCGGATCCTGAAGATAGACTCCTATGAAGTCGCGCACGCAGAACGGATTGGAACTGAGCGGTCTCGAGGTCCCCGTCCTGTACGGATCAAATTCAAAAGCCAAGCCAGCAAGTCTGCCGTATACCGTACACGATTCAACCTCAAACTACAAGATGGAACTCCCATATATATGGCCAATGACCTGACACGACAGCAACAGACAGCCAGGAAGAACAACGTGACGAGCTACAAGGAGCTTCGACGTAGAGGCGTGAAGTGCTCAATGCCGTACGACGAGATTCTCGACGAAACGTACCAACCGTACACCCCCCAGCAGATCACACACCTCCTGCAGGAACGAGGCTCTGCTGACAGGGGTGCACTGGAACATCCGGGCACGCAATAGGATCGTCCTGGGAGTCCCTCAAATCCTACCACCTCGTCGGTAAGCCACCGGATCATTGCTCACACTAATACTTGTCGTAATGTCACTTTAGCTCTTATAAATATTTGTAGTCTCAGAAATAAGGTTCAGGATATTCACAAACTCTTGCACGATCATAAAATTCACATTCTATCCATTAACGAGACACACCTGGACAGCAGCATTCCCGATTCTCTTTTACACGTTCCTGGCTACACATTGTATCGACAAGACAGAGATCTACATGGCGGAGGAGTATGCATGTATGTGCACGCGTCTCTTGTTTCCTCTCCTGCCCCAACGCAATGTATACCGGGAGTGGAGTGCATATTTGTACGTGTTCGCATACCGTCTTCCAAACCCAAATCCAACGAGCTGGTTGTGTGCAGCGTGTACCGTCCACCCAACGCAAAGGTCGAGTTCTGGGAACTCTTCAGCCTTCAACTCGACAACATTCTACGTCAGTTTTCGAACATTATTGTCCTCGGTGACCTGAACACGGATGTTCTGCAGCCTCGCAGTGGACACTACAAACATCTCCGGAATATGTGCTGCGAGTTTGATCTCAGGAATGTTGTCACTGCTCCCACTCGTCATGGGCAGACCTGCATCGATTTGGTACTTGTTTCCACTGGAGTCCAGCTTACACAGACAGCAGTGCACCCTGTGGACGGTATCAGCGACCACGACCTAGTTATAACCCACCTAACATATCCAACCATGTCTACCTGTCCACTCTACACCAATATCAGGAAGCCGAGCGCCACAGAAATAGACCGGGACGCTCTATGCCGAACCGTGGACGAACAACTGACGTCATTCCCCCTTGCAACAGATGTAAATATCTTGGCGAACAGCCTAACAGCCGTCCTCACGTCAACTTACGACAAACTTTGCCCCGTCCGTCGCATCTGCGTACCATCCTTCAGCAAACCCAAACCTCAACCCTGGCTGACTCCTCACCTGCGATATCTTTTACAGCAGCGTAAGCATTTGCACAGAAAGGTTCGGTCACGTCCCTCTGATCAACAACTAATGCAACGGTACCGGGCAGTGAGAAGGGAAGGGACACTTCTGAACAGGCGCCTGAAGTCGGAGTTCCTAATGCAACAGTTCAGAAACATGAAGCGTGACCCCAGAGGCCAGTGGTGTCTCTTAAATAAGCTCTCTGGTCGAGCCACCACGAAATCCACCCCTGCAGCGCCACTTCCAGCACTCACTGCAACATTTGCGGCAGTTGTCCACGACCCAGCCAGGCCAGGAGTGTTGCAGATACCAGCCGACAGGGATCCGACAGCACCTAGCACCCTGACTGACTTCACCTTGGTCAACACTGAAACAGTTGAGGCTCTACTGACTACTCTAAACTCCCACAAGGCCGCGGGTTCGGATGGCATTCCTCCCTGCATCTTAAAGTCATGCAAAGCAAATATCACGGCCTCACTAACATCCATAATCAATCAGTCCCTACTTTCTGGCGTTTTTCCAGCCTCTTACAAGCATGCACACGTGTGCCCACTCTTCAAGTCCGGGGACAAACTTGCAGCCACCAACTACCGGCCAATATCTCTGCTGCCCGTTGCCTCCAAGATATTGGAGAAGGTTGTCCACCGGCAGATTACTGAATTCTTCCGTGACCACCCAGAGCTGTCCGCCTTGCCGCTGGAGCAGTTTGCGTACCGTCCAAAGCACAGTTGCGAAGATGCCCTCGCTGTTTCCATAGACAGGTGGACAAGAGCACTGGACAATGGCCAGCGATGCGCGATACTGTTCGCAGATATGAGCAAGGCTTTCGACCGTGTACAGCATCAACAACTGGTCAACGAGCTGGCTGACGTAGGGCTAGGCGGCTCGGTGCTGAAGTGGTTCGCGGACTATCTGTCCTCCAGAAGTCAACAAGTCGTGGTCAATGGGGAGCGTGGTGGGACTGTGCCCTGCACCAGGGGAGTTCCGCAAGGGTCCGTCCTTGGCCCCCTCCTCTTTTGCGTCTACATCCGCAAGGTTCCACAGATTGTTCGGAACAGTATTTCTCAGCTCTATGCCGATGACATCGCCTTTTTCGTCATTGGAACGGACCTCTCTGTCATGCTGCGAAAGCTTCAGGATGACCTTAGCGCTCTGGAGCTCTACCTTGATGACAAAGGACTTCTCATGAACCCTGACAAGACGCAGTTCCTGGTCCTTCGGCGCCCACGCCAACCTGTGCCGCATCTACCAATCCCCCTAGTTTGTAAAGGCAAGCCCCTCACCCCTGCAGCCACCGTGAAGTATCTCGGACTACTCATCGACGAGCATCTCACCTTCCAGCCGCAAGTCGAGAAGGTCTGCGGTGCGGTGTTCGGCAAGATTGCCGCCTTCAGACATGGCCGAAAAAACCTAACACCTGAAGCGAAGAGGACGTTCTATTTATCCATTGTGCAATCGACTCTCGACTATGCCAGTAACGCTTATCTGCACTGTCTCAGCGCCACCCTGTTCAATAAAATCGTGACGGTCAGTCACATAGCAATGAAGAAAGTTTTTGGGTTTGACCGTATGATGTCTACTGAAATTGTTCTCCGCAAATATCATCTCTATTCTTTTGAACAGCGCACAAATCTTAAACTCTATGTTTTCGTGTACCGCTGCTTGACCCCACATCTTGCTAGTCCCCTTCTCCAATCCTTGTTCCAGCTTAGGGCTGCTGTGCCTGGACACCAGGCTCGCACGCGCGGCCAGGCACAGCGCGCATTAGTTCTTCCGCCTGTTTCTACGCAATATGGCATGCGTTCTATTTCTTTCCTGGCGGCAGACAGATGGAATGCTCTTCCCACTGACTGCCGTCAGGCCCCGTCTCTTACTCTGTATGTAAACATGGTAAAAATTCACCTAGGGTTCCCAGTAAAAAGGCAACGCCTGTTGGGACTCCCCTAGTAAAATAATAAAATCTACTACTACTACTACTAGAAACAGGGTCACGTGGTACTTTGGTAATTCCAGGGAGAATGTACGCACAGCAATTCCACAACGAAGACGAAACACGAGCTCAAAAACACTCCGACTAATCTTTCAAACAAACGACGCAGGAAGGAAGACGTGGACGCAGTGTTCCGCGACAAGCCTCTGGGTCATCCTAATAAAGATATTATTAGGCCAAACTAAAGAAGGTGTGTGGTTCGACTCACCCGACCGACCGTACAATTTCAGCCCGACCGTAACTTTTTTTCGGTGGGCTGTCGTGTGACTGACGTACGTGGACTGAACACGTCCACGTCTACGTGCTGTGGGGCGTGAGTCTGCGGACGCAGGCGGCTCCTTTTGGACTTGACTTGTAGTTGTACTGCAGTGCAGTGCAGTGAGTGGTACGACTGCTGCCTTGTGCTGGTAGTAGAGTCTACTCGATACGCGTATACAGTGTATTTACATGTACTAAAAAATATATTAAAAAAAAAAAATCCGCCCGCCCGCCCGTAAAAAAAATGTCCATGTTAGTCGAACCACACACCTTCTTTAGTTTGGCCTTATTATTATTATTATTCCTGTGTGGTCTTCAAAACACCTAAATTTACTCCGGTAGCGGCTGGTTCAGGGCCCGACAGCGTCGTAGACCTACCCTTCAGTTTTGCGCAAAACACTAGGAAATGTACGGTACTCGCGGTAGATCCAAAATCGTATGCATTTTGCGTAGATCTACGCCTACGCAGTGCGGGGACGACTGGGCCATGCATGCGTGGACCATGGTACAGTGGTTCTAGAGCTTTCCACCAAAAATTCATGTGACATAATCGACTGCATGGCATGAAGTTTGAAAGGTCAAAAAACTAACTTTTCACCTCATAGTCGTCCAGAAACTTACTTTGTCTTTCTGTACAGTAGTTGGGAAAGTGAAGCTTCTTGTGGAGTGGAGGTCCTTCCTTCTTAGTGTGTGCTACATCTGTACCGGCTTTTTAGCTGTAGGAATATCCACTCTTTTCCTGAGAGGCAAAGCCTTCTTTCGCTGAGAAAAAACTCTCCACGCATCACCATGAGCCAGTTTGATCTTGTTGTATTTGGTGCATCTGGCTATACTGGCCAGTTTGTTGTTGAGGAACTTGCCAGGAGAGTGTCAGGCTCTCTAACATGGGCTGTGGCTGGTCGAAACAGAGCAAAGCTCGAGGCAGTTCTTGCAGAAGCAAGCAAACATGTCGGTAAGCTTTGGTGAATTTGTTGTATAGAATTTTTGTCAATTTCAGTGGATGGAGAAGGGAAAACTTTGAAAAGGAAATGACTCGAAAAAAATGACTGCTACCAATAATACATTAGGACTCGGCCCAGGCACCTTTGCCAGTATAAGCCAGTGTTGCCTGTATAGAACTATTGCTATTTTCTTCTTTTCTTTTAGGCCACACGTTTTTATTTCTCTGTTTCTCGTCACCTGAAAATCTAAAATCGTATGCGAGAGGTGCAAAAAAATAAAAATGACCGAAAAGTAAATACATAAGTTTACTAGACCTTTGGTCATACTAAAATTGACCAATATAGAGTGTAAAATAGCATCCAAAGTTAGCAACTAGTACGCGGTAGGAGCTTCTGTGCACGTGCAGCTAGATTGCGCAACAAAAACTGCATGCAGCGACCTCGCATCATGTGTCGCGCAGGCCAGGCCAGCGTGCACATGTGCATGTACTGGTCCCCACAGTGCAGCACAGTTTTTTTTGTTTTCTTCCAGACTCCTGAATCGTATGCGCGTGGGTGACGAGAAACATAGAAGTAAAAACGTGTGGCCTTAAATCTAAAAAAAAAGGGAAGTCCGGTGAAAAATGAAAGTTCAGGGTCCGTAGAGTTTGGGGCACTCAATCGAATTTTGTTGGTCCCACGTCTCAGCAACAAAGAGATATTCCTCCAATACATGAATGTCGGTGGCTGCGCCATAATGTCATGCGGCCGCGACACATACTCTGTGACGTTATAGCATGCAGCTACTCGTAGGTCGAAAGGAGAGTGTGAAAGCAATATTGCCGATGCTATTTCAAATGATTTGGCGGCCAATAGTAGGTAATACGAGTGACCCCGAAGATATATCTCCACTTGAAAGTGAACTTGTGTTGTGTCCATCTGTATATGCATTGCCTGTTGTTTGTTGATCAATCCGATGCTTGACAAGCATGTCATGTGTTTGGTCTTGGGCTGAGAATCAGATGGTGATTTTTGGTGCGAACATAGCTTATTTCAAACACTCTTCGATTCAAGGCTCACAACACTACCGAATATGAAAGGTTTAGGTCTGGGAGCTGCTGTTTGCTGTTTTGTCACTTGTCAGCTGTGGACTCATCGTCACAGCACAAATGAGGCTCGATTATTTAGTATTCCATGAACACTAGATTTCTTTCTCTAAGCAAGACCACCAGCTGAGTTGAGCGTACCTTCCGTGGCCACATGTTCATGACAAGCCCGTGTACTCGTACCAGATGAACATGTATCTACACGACTCGCGCAGCACGACAGTACAGGAATGCAGTGCACTGGTAGTAGTGCAGTGCTGCTCAATGGAATCCAGTCGCGTCGCTCAAGTGCGCGCCGTGCGTTGCGCAGCCCTGGACCTGCGAACACTGGGCTGCGACATGGTGCAAGGCGCAAACTTGAGCGACACGACTTGATTTCAGTGAGCAAGACTATACGGGTATGCACCAGGAAGTAGTACTCCCTGGCATGCACACACCCTATTGTTCCGTGGTGTGATGAGTCTGATGTCTAGTATGGCATACATGCAAAGGCACAGAGGACGTGAAAAGTCCAACTCAGAAAAGTCTACAAGCCAGAATAGAGAGAGAGAGGCCAAGCTGCACGATATTGCACAATTTCACATCAAATGGGATTGGCCTAAGTTTGTAGATTTACAATAACTATCTTCGTTTATAGAAGATTGCAGAGCCGACTTTTCTCTTTTCCGATCACAATGCAATCATTGAACTCCTTTTCATCGTATGGTCATTTGTTACAATGGTTTGGCAAGATTGCCCTCATTGTGTTTGCAATGGTGTGCAAGCTCCCAAAGGACCAGTCATATAGTATAGCGCTATACTGCATCGCACACGCTGTGACAAGTTAACTATGATTGTTGTATGATGATGGTGGTGGTGTTGGGTTGTCCTGTAATTGAATACTACACCGTAGTACTAATGGCACATGTTTCAGAATGCACTCGTAACTTTGCGGGGGAACACCCTATGTTGTTTAGTCCTGCTGTTCCTTTACTCTGCACTCTGTTTTTCGACTTTTTTTGTCAGGACGTGACGTGAGTGAAGAAGCCGGTGTGATCGTGGCTGATGTCAAAGACACAGCGTCCCTGGAGCAGATGTGCTCCATGTCCAAAGTTCTGCTGAGTTGCGTTGGACCGGTGAGCCCATGTCTATGCAGTGTGCCCCAGATCAATGGCTACGCTTTTTCTTGGGTGTTTGAGCGCGCGTGCGCGCGTGTGTGTGTGTGTGTGTGTGTGTGTGTGTGTACCATTGTGTTTCCCTGGCACTTTCTGAAGACATGTAGAATGAGAACTGAGATCACAGTGGTGTTATTGCTTGCTTTTTGTCCCATCCAGTATCGCTTTTTCGGGCCACCAGTCGTCGAGGCCTGCATTGCCAATAAGTGTCACTATGTAGACATTTGTGGAGAGACTGAGGTGAGACTAGTGGGCACATCATGTGGTCAATGTTTATGTTGCAGTTGGAGAATAAACTGCTTATTTCCCATCTTTTTGAAGGTGAATACTTGCTGTCATTTGGTGCTGCAGTTGACACTGGGATCGGAGGAGCCGTGTAAGGCCCTGCACATGTACTAGCTGTAGGATATGTGTGGCGGGCTCTGGGTATATCATTCTACATCAGATGTTTTTGTTGTTCAGTGGCTTCTTTTTCTTTGCATCATCCACTTATTTTTGTACAAGTGCATGTGCTTGTTTGTCACCAGGCGATGCAATGTGAAAACAATTAGATGGGGATAGGCAGTTTATTTTGTGTGCTCTGCTTCTCATGTGCTTATGCTAGATCTTGGAAAGGATAGAGGAGAAATACCATGCTCAGGCGGAGAAGGCTGGTGTGCACATCATCCAGACCTGTGGCTTTGACAGCATTCCGGCCGATCTGGGAATGCTCTTCACCATTCAGAACTTCCCGGGTATGCTTCTGCCCCTGTGCTCTTGTATTTCCTATGCTACATGTGTTGTGTGTGCTTGCTCTGCCTCTCAATTTCTGTTCCTACTCTCTCTCCTCGTCCGTGGAAAGTTTGAATTCGCCTGATCGGTATTTTGAGTTGCGAAAACTGGGACGATTCTTAGTTGCTGCTGTGTGGCGGTTGCAGTGTCAGGCAGGTGAAGAACCACATTACCCTGCTGCGAAACGATCAGTTTTGGAGTTTGTTTGCTTGGGAATTACTCGGCCGCACCATCCTATGACCAAGACGATATTTGCCTCATTCAAACGTATCGGAAAGTTTGAATGAGGCAGGTGGCACCAACCCCTCCGGTCCAAACTTGTTTTGTTTGCAACGGGGCTACAAGCGATTGTGCTTTGTTCCGTTGGGTACCTAGTGTACGGAGACAACATGTTTTCAAGTTCTACCGGTCAGTTTCACTCAGGGAGGGGCCTAACATAGCATACTCACAATTGCCAATTTAGGCTAAAAATACAGGAAAACACAATTTTTGGCCATAGCACTCGTAGTTACCCTCTTCTTCTTGATGTGCAGCATCAGGACAGTGGTATGCTTGCAATATACCAACAAAAGCTGTAGAAGTGGGAAGAATCCTGCCAGAAAGGTGCCTTTTTCTCTTTTCGGTACAGTGCCATTTCAGCGAACACGTCCCACAAGAGGCCTCGATCACCTTTTCTGCCGATGTGGTAGAAGGTCCTTCGGTCGTCTTGCCAACATCGCAAGAGAACGCCATTATCTTGAACTCCTACCGTGCTGTAGTCGTCGACACCATTCACGATGATGTTACGCAGCCGTTGCTTACTTCCACTGATGTCTAATATCAGTCTTGTGATACGGCAGATATACTTAGCGGCTTCCATTGGAGTTAAATCGACCCTCTCGGGATGAATCGTGAGTGGGTGCATATCCAATGTCGTATGCTCCTCTTGGAGACATTGAATACTGAACTCCTCGTCGGTACAAGAAAATAGATACCGTCTCTCTCTACATCAACAAACGGTTCAGACGTTGACTACGCCATATTTTCTTTTTTCAGAGGGCTTCTTCAGATAGCAATTGTCACTCATAATAAAATAAGATCAGGTTTTATAGGGCAAGGGATTCACACCACGGGGAGGTGACGACCTTGGAGAACACGGTGAAAACACTGCAGTTTCTCGTTGCCTACTACTAGCGTGCGATAGTGTATGGCGAAGCATTATTATTACAGAAACAGGATGGATGTGTGGCTCACCCAAGGCAACTTTCGTGTTAACATCATAGCTCCTGCAATTTCCAGACTTGCCGGCATGCGTTTTGGAAGTTTGTACCTGGTTACGGACGCTGCAAGCACCGCACTTTACCTCCAGCACCAACGCATTTCTGCGTTCAGCCACGCAGTGGATAAGCTTCAGTGCTGTGTGGCAAGCATAGCACCCTCTTTCCAATCGATTTCCAAGTAGCCGAAACTCAACGATCCTGTATTGCAATACGAAGTCACAAGATCCAAAACACAATGACTACTTCGACTATGTCTTGAATCATGTTCGAACCACTATTTACCTCCGTCCTTCAACAAATAGTTCGGAGTCACCACGAGTTGCAGGCGGATCAGAAGACTCTCCTGTGGCTGCTGGTACATCAGGTGTTTCGCAGCACGCCTGGGACTGGGTATTTTCCTAAGGCAAATGGCCCGCATCGATCCGGGCTGATGCCAGTGATGGAGGTTTGCTTGAGCATCTGGTCTTCGTCGTTCTGCTACGCCATGATTTACGGCGAGCGATCATGGATTTCTGGCAGAACTTTCCACGGTACCTAGAGCTGAAGCAGTTTGAAGTGCCCATTGCAGGGAACAGCCACTACAACTTCGTGCCTTGCCGTACGGATCAAAGTCCCTCACAGAACGCCGCCACGCTATCGGCTTCAGGAAATAGGATCTGCGAAAAGGAAACAGCAAGACGGCAGCTACTACATCTTCAAAAAATCGAACTACCTCCAAAGTCTGCTGACTCTGCACGCGCTTGTGCTGACGTTTTCAAGTATTTCTGGAAAAAAAGGAAAAAATCGATTAAAGGGGAAGTTAAGGCAAAAATTAAAATTTCACCAGTTGTAGTCTTCGGGGTGCTGAGTCGAATGGTCTTGGTCCGAGGAAGCTGAGACGCTCCCTTCCTACTTGAATCCCAATAGAACTCGCGCACTTCCACCGAAACTGGGTGACTGCGCCCTACTAGATGGGGATTTGTATGCAAAATGTCACTAAAAGCGCCATTTCGTTCTTATAAAAGCACGGATGACCGCGATTGGCCCATATGTTGTAGTCTTTTGGACGCTGAGTCGACTGGTTTTGGTCCGAAAAGGCTGCGATGCAGCGTTCCTCCTTTATTCCCAATCGAACATGGTTGAAGAAGCGGTCACGTGGTCCTGGGTGCCCAAATCACCTGGTCACCACGCCAGCAAGTGACAACTTTCACACCAAGGTTCAACTCGAGTTCAACTCGAGTGACAGGACTGCACCCAAAAAAGGTCAAACAGGCTAGTAAGTTGTACCCTGCAGGCACGGTGACCAGGTGACTGGTGTACGCAGGAGCACGTGACCGCTTCTTCAACCATGTTCGATTGGGAATAAAGGAGGAACGCTGCATCGCAGCCTTTTCGGACCAAAACCAGTCGACTCAGCGTCCAAAAGACTACAACATATAGGCCAATCGCGGTCATCCGTGCTTTTATAAGAACGAAATGGCGCTTTTAGTGACATTTTGCATACAAATCCCCATCTAGTAGGGCGCAGTCACCCAGTTTCGGTGGAAGTGCGCGAGTTCGATTGGGATTCAAGTAGGAAGGGAGCGTCTCAGCTTCCTCGGACCACGACCATTCGACTCAGCACCCCGAAGACTACAACTGGTGGAATTTTAATTTTTGCCTTAACTTCCCCTTTAAGCATAGCTGCAGTGCAGCAGAGCCCAATGAATTAGAGCGGGAGCTTATTTTTTGCACCTCCAAAGGCAGCTCACAACACGTGCCACACAATCATACTAATGACACTTGGGTCCTTTTTCCCTTCCCCAGTGGACCAACCACAGTCGCGGTGTGTGTGGCACGTGTTGTGAGCTGCCTTTGGAGTGAAAAGCTTGTCAGCGCCTTCCACGTTCGGCCTGGTCCTATAGATCAGATGGTCAGAGCATTGCTCATGGCAAGCAAGGTCCCTGGTTCGAGTCCTGGTGGGTCTGGTATTCTCTTTTCAGGCAGTTCACTTCCCGACTGAGCCTTACAGTAGCAGTACTCTATTTCGCAGTGTGGTGTGCTGTCATTATTATGACAAGACGTTAGTGTGAAATCCATTTCTGGCTGTGCTTGCTTGTTCAAATTGTGGTTTACTGCATGGAGATTTCAATTTGTGTTGTCTACTTTTCTCTGTTCAATTTCCAAGGCGTCATAACACAAGCTGAGAGCTTCCACGCCTTCAAGACCGGACCGTCGGTATGTGCCAGTTTGTGTGTGTGAGTGTGTATGTGTGTGTGTGGGGGGGGGAGTGAGTGTGTGTGTGTGTGTATGCGTGCGTGTGAGTGAGCATCCTGAATGGCGTGCGGTGTTTTCAGAGGATTGTTTTTCTATTATGTCACATGTACGTAGTGCAAAGTTTTCGAATGTTTTAGAAGCTGTGTATATTCACACTAAGAAACTTGACTTATGTAAGCAGAAGCAGATTAAATTCACGCTTTAATAGGCTGTTAGGCAGGTCGTCAACAACTCGCTAGTTATGTACATTTCTTGTCTGTTTTTGTTGCACCACATTACACGCCTGGTAGGTTCCCTCACACTTGCACCTTATCCCCTTTTCATTCTATGTGTATGTGACACCCATTCTTCGTTGTTGTTTTAGCTCTTCTTCCTTACGCTGTTGTTATTACCTCTCTACTGTACTTAATCCATTGTCCTCATTCATTTGATTTTGCCTACATTTCACCTGACTATAAGGCTTGAAAGTATACGAGTGAAACTGAAAACTTTCAAGATGTTCTTAAAGAGCCTGAAATGTGTCCTTTTTCCGAGTATTATCGCCTTCTTGTCTCTGAGGAGACTGTAATAATTCCGTCTCGATGAGAATCGTGCTGTTCTGCAGTGCCTGTGCTGTTTCCACGCTGGTTCTAATTCTGTGTTCTTGGTGTTTGTGTGTGTGCGATGTCCTACAGGGTAGTAGTGTCCACACTGGAACCTGGGAGTCTCTCATTTACAGTCTGGCCAATGACAGTGAACTGCGCAAGAAGAGAACACACAAGGCCGCTTTCCAATGGCAGGGACCAAAGCTCAAGAAACGGTAAGGGATATCTATTCTCTAAACTGCTTCTCTCGGTTTAGTGTGCTGCAGTGTGTTCAGATGCTGCTTTTTGTATTCGAGCTGCTTCCCCCAAATTAAGCAAGCCTGCAGTGTCCAATGTCCCGGTGTGTGAGGCTCAACTTACTGTAACTTACTGTCTCTGTGTGTCTGTGTGTCTCGTTTCACTCTCCATACAACACTGTGCAGTGGAAATGTATTCAAGGCCAAGGAAACTGGTCATTGGTGCATTCCTTTCCTAGGATCCGATGTGGCTGTGGTAAGCATAGAGTTTTCTCTCATGGGTTCATTTCTCTTAACCCTTTGTTGGCTCCTAGCTATACAAATTCCAATGGTATTCTGTCGATGACTCCAAACATCCATTACCCAGTCAAATATTGCACTATCGTGAAAACCGAAGTATTTCGTTTGTAGCTGAAATCCTCAGCTTTCCGTTGCTGTAATCGGTTTTATGACAGCCATAACGGTTGTTTGAGATACCGCGCTCAAAATTTGGGTGACCGCACTTTTCTCGCTCCGAGCCCATTTTCCGGTTTGAAACAGTGAATTCCCCTTGTTCTCAAGTGCCAGTAGTCCATTTTTGCATACATCCTGGTGCTGGCTACTTGCGGTGGCACTGGACAAAGTTCAGAACTGGGCGAGCAAGGAAATTGAAATGGCTGAAGGGGAAAGGGATTGAGGGCATTTCCACCGATATGGTGACTTTGCTAGGCTGTAGAGCTGGGCCTGCAACGCCGATTTCGCTGGATGATAGCTCACTGTGTTCGCACTGAGAAGAACTTTCCGGAGAGCCCAAGATTGGACCGAAAACGCCTGACAATAAATAGAATGATTTAGCCAAAACTTAATTGTCCACACGATGACACGGTGCCATCAAAGGTCCAGCCAGAAGATTCATTTTTAATGCAACCAAACCACACAACAGGGGCTATACTCGACTCTGACGGATACTGATGTTATTTGACGCTTGAACAATGAATGATGATTGTATTCGGAAAGATACGGAGCGACTAGAGAGTTCAGATACATCTACTTGTGTAAAAATCCGCCTCTAGTTGTATACTTTATTCGTGCAGTGTAAAATGGTGGAACCAATGTGCAATAAAAGTTTATTATAAAATGATGAAGTAGGAAGGAATAGTGAAGAGAACAATTAGGATTCGAATAGGTTTTCGTACAACACTCATCAGGAATATTTGTTGTACTAAAGGACATTGCAACACAATTGAACTATTGGACTCGGATGGAGAGCCAATGAAATTTATAGAAAAGAAAAGTACCAAGGAACTTGTTCTCTGCTGGGATGACGGCTACACCTTAGCTCAGTGGTTAGAGCATTGCTGGCCTCAAGCGAAGGTCTCTGGTTCGAATCCTGGTGGTGACAGTCATTTTTTTCTTCAGACTTTCCCCGTTTCTGTCTTTCCCTCTAACCAGTGAACTCGTTCCTTGGTACTTTTCTTTTCTATAAATTGAACTGTTATAAAATAGAACTCGGATAATGAACCATTATTAAAATTAATGTAAAATATGGAAAGAGAAAAAGGACCTATAAGTTACTACTTATGGCTAACAGTCATATATTTTTCTCTTTCCATATTTTGCATTTAACTCTGATGGTGAGCCAATTGAATTATGGTGAAAAAGGAGAAGGACAAAATGTTACGAGTTATGACTAACTGTCCACCAACGTAACCAGATCTTATACAGTCAGCGAGTGCGACAAAATGGCACAAAACTGGCCAGGAGTATTGAGACATCTGCGGACAGAACTGTTTCAACCTTTGTGGACTCATCAGCGCAGCACAGAGGAAATGAGGCCGAACCTGGTAGCAATGAAAAATAAATTTTCCAAACCAGATTTAAACCAGGCCCGAACGTACCTTGCCAGAGTGCTCAAACTGACAAGTCAGTGAGCTCTGCTTAACGCAAACAGCAAAGGCACTACCCCACGCAAGAGTGCTCAACTGCTACAAGAGCAGGAGCGAAATACTCAATCTGCGGACAGAACTGTTTCATCCTTTGTGGACTCGTCAGCGCAGCACAGAGGAAATGAGGCCGAACCTGGTAGCAATGAAAAATAAATTTTCCAAAGCCAGATTTAAACCAGGCCTGAACATTAATTTATTATAAAATACTTGAATAAACGGCGAAGAGACAAGAATTTTAGTACCGCCGTCAATAAGACCAGCTGAATCGACATTTGTGTATACTTCATTCTTGAAGTGTAAAATGGTGGAGACAATGTGCAATAAAACGATGAAAGTGCAGTGCAGGAAGAAATAGTGAAGAGAACGATTAGTTCCTACTTTGATGGAGAGCCAAGGATAAAAAATTATAGAAAAGAAAAGGACCAAGGAACTACAAGTTACGCTATAATGTCCACTAACACCACCAGTTACTGAACAATCAGCTCATGCGATAACATTGCACGAGACTGACGGACGGTGCTGACCTTCTACAACTAACTGGCTATCAGCTCTAGCACATCTTGGATGCGCACTCCAACAACCTTCCAACTTGGAAGGTTCTAAGTTATATGATAGCAGTGTCGGCATGATAGTACGATAACAGTGTCGTGCAATGTTATCACATGAGCTGGTTGTTCAGTAACTGGTGGTGTTAGTGGACATTATAGCTTAACTTGTAATTCCTTGGTCCTTTTCTTTTCTATAAGTTTCTACTTTCATCGTTTTATTGCACATTATCTCCACCATTTTACACTGCACTACTGAAGTATACACAAATGTCGACTCAGCTAGTCTAGTTGTATAATAAAATAATAAAGTCTCACCTGACAGGGTTGTTAGACACAAGAGTCAGTGCAGACGCTGATGCACAAAATTGGCCAGAAGCTCATGGATCTGGTCAGGTCCATTCACCAAAGCTTGGGGAACAGCAGCATGATTAGGAACTTGAACTGTTGGTGCGGGAAGCCAGGATTCCTCAAAAGGACACTGGCATCTTTCACACGCAGTGTGCAATGTAGCTGCTACTAGCGAAACACGTGTTCCGAACTTTGGATCTCGGATGAACGTGTGCACCAGAATGCTCCAGCGTCCTTTCAGTCGTCCAATCGCATTCTCAACGACTCTTCTGGTTCAAATCACTGCATAGTTAAAACTCTTCTGGGGACCATTCAGATTGTCACCCTCAACGCATTTGATGATAGTTGGTGATGCAGCAAATGCAGAATCAGCAACACGGTAGGGACGAACCTGCCGATTTAGAACATTTACAGATGCATCAAGAGAAAGGAAATCCCCGTTGTTTATTCCGTGGCGCAAGCTACAGGTGTTCCATGTGTAGGCATCACCCATACAGCCCGCTCTTCCGGCATTGATGTACTTGATCACGCCTCTGGCATGCATGCATAACAAGAGAACTATAGCAGGAAACCCCTTATAGCAGTGGTATGTATCACCATGTTCAACTGGTTTCAAGATCCTCATGAAGGTCCCGTCCAGTGCTCCCGCAATGCCAGGCAGGTGGCATAAGCCTTGGAAGTCCTGCATGGTCTGCTCCAGCTCTTTCCCACTTGGGAATGTCAACACCTGGGGCATGAGAGTCAAGAACACTTCGATGCCATCCTGAACGATAGTATTGTTAGGACCGGCACAGTCACAATTAGACGATCGGATCAAGTCGACAACGACAAGGAATCTCAGAGGTTCGGTATAGGATAAGGTAAGGCAAGCAAGACAAAGACCAGGCAAGGCAAGCAAGACAAGGCTAGGCAAGGCTAGAAGGGGCAATGTTGAATTCGAAACAGGACGACTGACAACGGGAACAAGTTAGTGGGAACGACATTTATTATAGACGACGAGACAAGAGACCAAGACGAACGAAACGACTACATGGTGATTATTGACGAGTGAGAAAAGAGAGAGAGAGATCAAGTCTAAACGGCAAGATAAAGGGCCTGGGTAGCTATGGCAAATATGGGCGCGCAAGTAGCTACCCAGGCCAACGGAGCAAAAGGAGACAAAAGGTGCGTACGCAAGTGCATGCGGGCCAGCTAGAAAAGGTACGGGAGGAGGTACCTAACAGTATGGACAGTGGATGTGCCAATATGATAGTCTGTACCGAGTATGTGATGTGCTGGGCAGTGGGCCATCCACTCCAAAAAGATTGCCAGGCGTTTACGTCCACATATAGTCCTTCTCAGATGGGTAGTCTCCTTCTCCATGTGCTGACCGATCATATTGTAGAGCTGACCAAATGGTGTGACATCCACACGGAATGCTTCAAGATACTTTTTATCCTCATAGTCTGGAAAGCGTTCGCCAATGATCTGCCAAGTATCCATCACTTCACGCTCCCAGCGTTCATCCAAATCTGTTTCTGAGTGCGCAGACCAAAATCTCCTTTTCTTGGGAAGCGAATAGAAACAAGAACGGAATGAACATGTCGCAGGATATTTGTCTGATCTGACCACGGCAAGATGGTCTTTGGTGAAAAATGGAAGGAGATTGGCGGTACGGTGTCAGCTTTCCGAGCTTGCTCCTGTTTGATGCTCTGATCTGGTGGCAACTGTCTCGAACCACGGAAGAGCAGAAGTGCCATCAAGACATGCCCCTTGCTGCTGCCAATATCCATATCAATTCAAAGGAAAATAGAGAAGCAAAAATGGAAAAATAATATATACCAGTTCCTTTGATGTGCATTTCTTGCTTTTCGAATCTTTCCCTATATCCTGAGTGGTATCACACCCTGGCCTGGCCCGTGCCTCCCGTGCATGTGACTCCCTGGCTGTGTCCAAAAAAAGCCATACGAACAGCCTGTACGTGCTTATGTGAATGCGCAGGCATCAAAACGACGCCTGCCAGTACGTGAAATGCCAAAACGAGGCGCGTATTGGAACGTATTATGAACAGCGTATAACATATTGTGCTGTGTGTGTTTGTTGTATGGCTGTGTGCACGTGTGTGCGTGTGTGTTTGTCCGTGCGTGTGCGTGCGTGCGCGTACTGTGTGCGTGTGTGTGTGCGTGGTGTAGGTCAGGCGATCGCAGCGTGCTCGTCAAACGGCTGGCCAGCACCCGGTATGTGACAATGTCTATTCGATTGACGACGCTTTTCTTTGTTGCAGTACATGTAGTAGTAGCAGAGTATGAATAACAGCTACAATCATGAACTGGTTTGACATGACTTGTGATTGGGCACCAACAATCATGTGTACCATTTTTACTGTACATTTTTTTAAAGATGATGACGAGGTTCTCCGGTCCGATTTGTCTACCTCATGAACCTGTTCCACTGGCTTACTGTAAAAAAACCAGCTGGAATATACTATCGGGCACACAGCTGCTCATATTTAAAAATATGTTGGTCTACCTGTTACTAGCTATTCAACTCCCACCAGTTTAGGAGCTGCATCTGGCTCATTTGATGATCGGAGTAGGGTTGTAGCGTTCCTACGGATGTGAAAATAGTCTAAATGACTGCTTCTGTGAACTGTGGGATTCACTTGTTTATTTGAACTATCCATGTTGACTTTGTTGCCAGTGCCCGTGTGCATATTGTACTACTAATGTCTGTGCTTGGCTTTGTTTATGTGCATGTCTGAGCATGGATGTGTGCGTGCGCATGTGTGTGTGCGTGTGTGGGCGTGCGTGTGTGGGCGTGCGTGTGTGGGCGTGCGTGTGTGGGCGTGTGTGTGTGTGGGTGTGTGCATGTGTGTTGGGTGTGTAGGTTCAGTACGGCTGCTACTTCAACCCAGGCAGCCTGATGGCATGTATCATGATGTACATCTGGGGACTGTTCATCTATTTGGTGACGCGCACCATGTGGGGTGTCAGGTTTGCTGCCAGTGTAAGTACATGTACTAAGTAGTTCATGCAAGCAGTTGCCGCTGCACTTTTTCTTCGTCTCCGTGCTGTTTGCTTCACATCAAGTGCGGATGAAACCTGGGATGCATCCTTGAATGCTGTCGAAACTTGGTGATATTTGAGTCGAGGCCTTTTTTTAAACTATTCATGGTTCATCACAAGTGTTTGTGTATGAGTACATGTATTTTCTACCTAGAGTTTTGCTTCATTTTTTAACTTTTTGCGAACACTGCTCCGACTGCTTATCCACCATGTTGTGACTCGGGTCGAGAGTACTTGCTTCACTTGGTCTCGGTGACATCAACAGCAGATGGCTGTGCACACAAGACACCCGGGCCTTGGAGTCCGCCTCACTGTAACTTTAAGTTGCTTTTCCACCTATTCTCTCTCTCTCTCTCTCTCTCTCACTCACTCATTCTGTCTCACTCACTCTCCCTTTCTTTCTTGTTTGTAGCATCCTGGCCTTCTCTCACTGGGTTTTTTCTCTGAGGATGGAGCAAGCAGAAAACAGGTCAGCTATGTTCCATGGTTGTGCGTAATACAATGTATTCTGATTTACATGGCCGTATTGTTCACAACTGGAATTGTCTCACTTTATTCCGTTGCCTGTTGTGACATGCCGTTGAATCTGCTTAGCCTTCGAAGAAACTGTCCGTCCTCGTGCAGCCGGGTGTGTATGCACGTCGTGTTTGCATGCACCCATGCTTTTGTTTGTATATTTTTTTATTTTATTTTGCGTACATATGTTTGTGTATTGGTCCTGGTCGTATCCTGATTATTGTCCTTGTGCTGTCCTCTGATTTCCTCCTCTTTCCTGCTTTGCACAGCTGTCTGAAGCAACGTTCAGCACTACGTTCTATGCCAAAGGATTTACTGACAAGTCACTTGTGTAAGTCAAGTTTCTTGCCTTTTGCCTGTTGGGAACTCGCCAGTACAGTAATAGGGAGGTTAGTCCCACGTAACGGACACCGGAGCGTGGGTGATACACGTAAAGTTCCTCCAATGGACCCACGTTCGCAATGTTGTGTTTAGTCACGCGGAACAAACAAAAGCATGAAGCCAAAGGCCCAAACTTGGTCAAAGACGAAGCTTAGAAGCTCATCGAAAATGTTGATTTTGTGCTTCGGAAACTTCTTCAGCTGAGCACCTTCACAGCTTGCACAATGCGCTCCATTCTGATTTTCACCCACGTTCTGGCGGAACTTGGGTGAGCCTCCATACATGGTATGTCGTGAATCAGATATCATCTGTACGTGGGTCACTGAGTATCACGTGGTACACACACGTAAAGCACACACGGATTACGTGGGACTAAACCTCCCCAATATCGGGTGCCGAAGAGTTGGGGGATTGTAAATATATACGCTGCTGTCGAGGAAGAATGCAATTTGTGTGATTTTGGTTCCGTACTGTTCACATTATCGCATCCAGAAAAATCTGAAACCTCAGAGCTGTGAAAATTATTCGCCGTTTTCCATTGTTCTCCGACCATGTGTGACTATTTCAGACCAGTGTATAGACGGACCGATGCATATTTGTTGTGTGTGCTTTGGAAATCCTGCGTGTTTGAACAGGTCCTCTGGTGGTAAGCCCAACGCAAGTGTCACCACCCGGATCTCAGGACCTGGTGAGCAATTGTGTTGTACATGTATGCGTGCGTGATATGCTGTTATCTCATGGCGAGAGCACTTGCAATCCGAACCATTCCTTGATCTTCAGTCTCAGCACTCGTGAATGTCACAAACATTAAAGGGGAAGTTCAGGCAAAAATTAAAATTTCACCAGTTGTAGTCTTCGGTGTGCTGAGACGAATGGTCGTGGTCCGAGGAAGCTGAGACGCTCCCTTCCTACTTGAATCCCAATCGAACTCACGCGCTTCCACCGAAACTGGGTGACTGCGCCCTACTAGATGGGGATTTGTATGCAAAATGTCACTAAAAGCGCCATTTCGTTCTTATAAAAGCACGGATGACCGCGATTGGCCCATATGTTGTAGTCTTTTGGACGCTGAGTCGACTGGTTTTGGTCCGAAAAGGCTGCGATGCAGCGTTCCTCCTTTATTCCCAATCGAACATGGTTGAACAAGCGGTCACGTGCTCCTGCGTACGCCAGTCACCTGGTCACCGTGCCTGCAGGGTACAACTTACTAGCCTGTTTGACCTTTTTTGGGTGCAGTCCTGTCACTCGAGTTGAACCTTGGTGTGAAAGTTGTCACCTGCTGGCGTGGTGACCAGGTGATTTGGGCATCCAGGAGCACGTGGCCGCCTGTTCAACCATGTTCGATTGGGAATAAAGGAGGAACGCTGCATCGCAGCCTTTTCGGACCAAAACCAGTCGACTCAGCGTCCAAAAGACTACAACATATGGGCCAATCGCGGTCATCCGTGCTTTTATAAGAACGAAATGGCGCTTTTAGTGACATTTTGCATACAAATCCCCATCTAGTAGGGCGCAGTCACCCAGTTTCGGTGGAAGTGCGCGAGTTCGATTGGGATTCAAGTAGGAAGGGAGCGTCTCAGCTTTCTCGGACCAAGACCATTCGACTCAGCACCCCGAAGACTACAACTGGTGAAATTTTAATTTTTGCCTTAACTTCCCCTTTAATGCTCAAGCAGGCCTTGATCAACTGAACCCTTCTTCTTTTTTGCATCAATCACAGAATCTTTGTGCTTGAAGCATGCCATGTGCATGAAATACTGTGGGGTACATGCTAATACCTCCTCCGTTCTGCTATTTTGCTTTCCTCTCATGTACATAGAACCTGGCTACATCGCCTGCTCCATCATGCTGGTACAGTGTGCTCTGTGCCTGCTGCGTGGAGACCTGCCGCACAGGTTAGTATAAGAGCTGTAGCGTGCGCCGCGCGTGCATCGTCTATGTACAATCCTACCCTCACAGCTGTTGGCTTCATTTCTCCACACTGTCCCCCATTGCCTGTAGGGGAGAGAGGTCACAACCTGTGAAAGTGAAATACTCCGCCGATTGGCCGAGACTGCTTGACCAATGAGAGCAGATGGTGCAGTTCAAGTACGAAGTTGGCTATAAAAAATCACTCAGGAAGGGGTGGTGATGAGGGTTTGGGATGGCTTTTGTTTGATAGTTTCTTTTTCTTTGCAGTTTCCAGTAAGATTTCCAGTAAGATCTGCAGCACGGGTTTATGTTTAGCTAGGAAGTCTCACTTACGGGATTGAGAAAGAAATTCCAGGATGGCAATGATGAGCCATAGGAAAGCGTCAACATCAGCTTTAGCCAGCAAAATAAATGAACGCACATATGGATTTTAGCATCAGAATATCTATGTCAAAATCAAGGGTGTCTATCAATGTTAGCAATCCGCATCATGTACGAGATTGATGGTTCTGCATAAGGTTATCCAGACAACACCACCACACTGATGCATTGCTGTGGTTTGTGCAGGGGAGGTGTGCTGACACCAGCCGTGGCTTTCACCGGTACCGATGTCATTCCGGAGATCAACAAGGCGGGTGTCAAATTCAGCGTGCTGGAGTCCTCATAGACTGTGTACCTGCAGCGACGATTCGCTTTTTTCTCATCCTCTTCATGCTCACTCAATTCAACCACGAGACTTTGCCTCAGCTGCGCACTATAACGGTTAGAATGTACCTGAGACGATCCGTATTTTTTTCTCATCCTCTCCATGCTCAATTCCACCACCAGACTTTCTCCTCAGCTGCACTAGCTCACACCATTTTTGTCTACTCTTGCCTAGTTTATTTTTTAATGAATATGAGTTTCCTTCCTCTGCTTATATTCCAAGAAAAAAATGTTGTAACAAGACATAATTTCAAGAGCCTTTGCCATTTTTCTGATTCTGGTGACACTCCATGCATGCCAGTGTTATATGATTGTGATTATTGCAGATGGTGTATGATTGCACTAGATTGTGCTGCAGTAGCAGGAACAGCTGGTAGTGTGCCTCGTCGTCAGCTGCTCTGTCGCTTAATGCGCAGAGAGAATGCCGACTTACTGCGCCTTTGCTGTGTTTGCTTGTTGGGGGGTGGTGGTGTCCTAAGTTCTGTAGGCTGGTCGTCGTGCTGCTGCCGTTCATCACTCAGGCTGATAGAACGTGGAAATTCTGGATTGCTAGGCAGAGGTTTAGATGGCGATGATGGCTGTTCAACGTCCAGACTGGCAGACCTGCTCCTAAGCTTGTGCAGAACACCAGACAGTGACTTCCTGCTCTTTTCCTTGCTTAGCTTTGCCTTCGGTGGCGCTTCTTTGAAGTGGTACGCTGGAGACAACATACAGCAGTAGCAGCAAGATACAGATGGAATCCTGATAATTCTAACCCCAAAATGCCAGGAAAAAAACTTCTGATTAATTCTGTTCAACGTCCAGACTGGCAGACCTGCTCCTAAGCTTGTGCAGAACACCAGACAGTGACTTCCTGCTCTTTTCCTTGCTTAGCTTTGCCTTCGGTGGCGCTTCTTTGAAGTGGTACGCTGGAGACAACATACAGCAGTAGCAGCAAGATACAGATGGAATCCTGATAATTCTAACCCCAAAATGCCAGGAAAAAAACTTCTGATTATCCGGACATTCTGATTATCCAAACCTGTGCCCACAACACAATGTGTATGTCAAAATGCGCTCATGGACACGCAGAGTTGCGCTGTGCACATCAATAGACACAGATTTCGCGGACAATGAACTGGCCCGTGCAGCCTGCTCATGCAAATTTAAGTGAGCAGTATAGTGAACAGTCACTTCGAATTATATCCTGCTAGCTTCGAATTATCAGCACAAATCCCACACATTAGACATTGCTATGTGGGAATTGTATTGATAGAAATGCCAAACAGAATTGGTGCTGGCCATGGCGTGGGTGAAATGCGGTGGTGTCGATTCAAGTTCAAGAGTCAATAGGGGCCGCCGGGTGGCCCCTGCCTTCGTTACCTATGTCTTTGTCTGCTCTATGCCCTGTAAGGGATGGTATTTCAAATAGGACATATGTCGGAAACCTGACCAGGCTCAATATTCACTTTCTCTCTTGGTGTTTTGATTAGAAGACATAATTATGTCACAGTGAGACTACGATGTGTTTTACTCCGAGCCAACATTTCATGGCTCTGCGATGACCAGAAGCGCCATACCAAGCAGGTGAGTTATTGACAGGTTGCTTCGCACTGAACGTGTTCCGAAAAATCAACTTATTGTCGCAGCGGCTCACCTCTCGCCAATAAAGCATACTATTTGAAGCACACAATAGGCTTGTTGTTTCTCTGTACTGGCCGTCATGGAGTGATAGCAATTACCTATCTTCAGAACTCAGGGTGGACTCCACGACTGTTCCTGTTTGGAGCAACCTCTGTGGCACCAAAATTCGAATCAAAAAATCGGGCAGCTTGGAGGCAATGGGCCAACACAAAGTGGCGCACTTCGATCGACAGAGCTACCTAACGTGTACCCTGAATGTATTGCTGATAGGATACAGAGAGGTACTTACGATCTTCATCATCTTCGAGGACAACCTGATCTGGTCCATCCGAACTGAATAAGGCACAAAGCGCACAGACACGTGCATGTAATCTTTGTAGACTAACTATCGCATCCGATGCGACAACACCAATAATGCATGCATGGATCTCCCACTGCAGAGAGACACTTTCTGCACATTGTGTACACAGATGACATGCACGCAATGCAGCAGCAGGAGAGAAGGTACAATTGATCTAAATGTGTTGTCCGCATGTGTAGTACGTACTACGTATGCCTACCTTTGGCTCTCCAGATCAGCATAGGTATGTTCGGGTACACAAGCTGAGACAGCTGCGGTCGGAGCACTGGCCAGGCGTTGACGGAGCTCAGCGGACGGATGCCGTTGAGGCATTGGCTGCAGTGCGCTGACAGAGGAGGAGCGTCTGGACAGGTTCATTGAGGCTGGCCGTACGGGCAGCGGCGGAGGTGCAGATGTGGTCAGTTGCAGGCAGCTGTGTTTCTGGCTCGCCAATGATGGAGGCATGGTCGGCGTGTGTAGACCCCTGGTGACGTGCCGATCCAAAGAGCGCGATGATTGTGCGACCATGGTGTGCGTCTCGCCTTGAGCCAGCTTGCTGCGTTTATGTTCCTCATAGCTTCGCAGTCGTGCTGCGCTCCACTTGGGAATGTCTGGGCACCCTGGAGATGGTGGTGCCGGTGCTGAAACGTCGTTGGCATTCAGCTCTGCACTTGCTTCTCCTCTGTCAGGCGTGCGTGCAAGCAACAAGGTTGGCAGTTGTGCTGCTGATGCTGGTGTTCCTCTAGCAGTAGTTGCTGGTACAGGCGGTAATGGGATTGTCGGTGGTCCAGTAACTCGGCTCACCGGTAGGGTCATGTGCCCGTTCCGCTGTAAGGAAGCTAAGCGGGCTGCGCTCAGCGGTGGAATCGCTGGATGGCTTGTGCCACGCACCAAAACTTCTTCCGGTGTTGACCTCTCGTCCTCCTTGGTCACGCAACCACTAGTTATGCTATCGATGCTGCGCGTTGACCTGGTATCTTGCTGCGTACTTGTCAAGCTTCCCGTCTTAGAGATACTATCATGATCTGCCCTGAGTACTTTCGGCAAGCAGGACAGCCACTCCATGGCGGTCCGCTCCAATTCATCTGCCTGCTGCTCCTGCTTTTCTGGATCCTCTTTGCCTGTCCTGTCCTTGACCGCTGGAGGATACGGCGAGTGCTCGCGCTGACGGGCGTTGGAGTGCCACCAGCGGAACGTTGTGTTGTCATCGTCGTTACCGTGCAGGGATTCGTCACCGCTCACACCACTGTCCGAGTGATTCGAGTGCAGGGACAGCTGGTCTGGCAGGAAGCCCTTGTCTGAATCAGCACTGCTCTGGTGCTTCTCCATCTCTGCTGCTGGGCCAGCTGAACGAGGAGTGAGAAACAAGTCCACAACTATTCACACGGCGTCAATATAAGCACAAGAAACACTAGTCGCCGCTCAAAACCGTCATTGGCAATGTAGAGAAGTGTAGTGCAGACTAACAAGTCTGACAATCAGAGAATGCATAGCAAGAAACTGCTTGTGAGCTTTGGCAGGGCTCGTTTTTATAGTGGGCTGCTGAGCCTTCTATCGATGCACACCACTGGCGTGGGCAGGCGAAGCTGCACTGGACAGTAATTTCCTGGCACTGCATTGGAGGTGAAATCCTAAAAGTATCCTGTCGCCACTAAGCAGGCTTCTTAGGGAGGACATGTTTGGAAAGTCCATTCAAGCTGCCATGGGTGTAGCTGTCTAACTGCTCTCTAAGTACACTCACTAGACCATTGAGAACTGGCGAACTACAGTTGCTGGTAGAACTAGAGGCACCTAGATGCAATTTCCGGTGAACAACTGTTCAGAGGAGTACAGGGATTGCGCTGGCTAAAACCTGTGCGTAGAATTATGGTATCATCGTGGACCGTCTTCACAGGCCTGGCAGTTTACTTTTTGCATCAGGGGGGGCTCAATGCTTCTGGTGGTCAAGATTGATTGTAGGCACATGCAATTTGATCCTGTACATGCGACGCTTTTTGCATGGCCAAAGTGTGCACTGCTGACACACCCTCATTTTTGTCTGGCTTGGGTGAGTACTGCCAGAGCAAGCAAGACTGAGGACTACCTGTTACCAGTACATCATGTACATGGGTAGCATGGCGTTCAGGTGCGAATAATACCTAGCTCCAAGAACCGAGCATGGTGTATGCATATATACATGTATGTACTGCACTCGTTCCGACTAGGACCTTGTGTCAATTATGCGTGCAAGGAATATTGACAACTGGCAGTCTCCCCTGGCCATCTCCCTACTCATCTGTACTTGTCTAGCCTGGGGCTTTGAAGACCTCTTGCTTAGGCTGGGGTGATGGGCCACCCATGGCCCTATTTGAACTTGATCTCCGACACTCCCAGGCATAAAACGTGCACATCAGCATTTCTCTTTTGGTGCACAAGGCAATCATGTATCATTTAATTTCATCTTCAAGACTAAAATAGTAGTTTGCTTACTGGTCTTCTGCTCATTGGCAAGCTCATCAAAGTAGCAATCGTGGGGTGCGTGCGCCTGCGGTGATGCGATTGGGCTACCCTGGGTGATCTTGGCTTCTTCATTGCGCCGGCTGGTGGCAGTTGTGCTGTGTTTGCTTGCTCGAGAGATCTGCGTGTAGATGTATGTCATGTCATTGCCACTGATGACCAGTTTGTGCTGCTTGGCCGATTTCCTGTGAAGGTCAGAACAGCGAGAAAAATCAATGGAGGAGCAGAAGCTGAGGGCAAGTCTACAGTTCATCTGAGTGTCATCTGAGTGTCAGCACAATGTATATTGTCATCTTATAGTGGAAACCTGCCTTGTAGGGAAACTGAAAACCTGACAGAATTTCCGCCGCTTACCCGGACTTATCGGTGAACTGCAGCGTAGTCAGCCCGCTGCCGTCCTGCTGGATATCATCCACCATTGACAAATCCACGGCACACACCTGCTCCACCGAGTCGGTCGCATACAGACGCAGATAGCCATCGCGTATTGCAGCAAATTGCCGTCCTTCGACGTGCTTGTGCTTGGCGTACGGCGTGGCATTGATGGTAAGGCGGATTAATGCTGCAGGAAAACAGCACAGTCACTGTTTCTTTCCCTTTTCCCATGCTCCATCTTCCTCTCTACTCTCCCCCATTCTTCTCGCAATATTTATGTAGGAGACTTCCATGATAAGTATCCTTTTGCTTTTGGAGAATCCTTTTTAAAAATACATACACAACAACTGTCGGCCTTCCAAGCATCATGCCAGTTTTCAATAGCAGTCACCTGCAGACATGGGTGCAACTAAGTGCAGCATTCTACACAATCGTCATGAGCCTACAGTGAAACTTCAATCAGTAGAGCCGACGTAGCTCCAGGCAACATACACATCTGTATTTTATAACCCCGGACCTGTATATCCACGGTCAAAGGACTGGTCAGCAACGTAGCTGTTCCACCTGTTAGACGGTTCGCGGTTAATGTTCTTGAATCAGTTAGCACTTGAGAGAGTAGTAGGTTTGTTGATAATAATAATAATTATAATAATTTTGCGGGATCCGCGTTAGCATTGCTTGCATGTCGCTGTTGTGGAGGTCTGGAACCAGCTCCCGCAGTGCGTTCTGCTGAACCAGCCAACAAGGAAAGGACTGCAGACGTTCAAAGAAAAGGTCAACGCCCACCTGCGCCTTACCCGCTGGGAGTGGGCAACGGACAGGCTATGAATCAAAGAAAAAAGACGAAAAAAGCTCTAACTCTGTTCCCTCTTCCATTCACTTCGTTGACTCTCTGATAACTTTTTATTGTGCATACTTTTCCCCGTAATCCCCAGTTATCTACCCCCCCCCCCCCCTGCGTATTTTCTGTAATCTTTTGTTTTTGTGGAGCGCTTGGGTTGCAATGAAGCCGAGACCCTATGGTCGGTCAAGCTGCCCCTGCCTCTCCCCCACTCCTGCCATTCCATATGTCTCATCGCTGCCTTGCTGCTTTGTGCCATCAAATGGTGTGTGGTTTTTTGTAAAGAAAAAAAAATGTTAAGAAACACACAAGCTAGCCTTCGTACCCGCAAGCCACCACTATGCCTGTACACCTTAGTGGCGAATGCAGACCCCACGAGTGAGTCAGAGGAGAGAGGAGGTGAGTCTCTCAACCAATCGGGCATGTAACTGCCCGAAACCCCATAACCTGCATCCTTGTTATCCAGTAGGCGTGTTACCATATTCAATTGCACTGCCCCGGTATCTGCTACAGGTAGCCTCACGTGAAAGACTTAGTGGATTTTCCCACTGCACTGGCACTAGAGCCTGGCTTCACAGTGAACTGCAGTACCTTAGACACTTGGCTCAAAGCACGTACATGCCTAATGAAAACTTGACCAAAATTGATATAAATATCGTAACTGGTCCTGGGACTCTGCTCTCCCCACAATTCCACAATTAAGCCCACACACTCCAGCTATGAGCCCGTACACAATCTACTTGACCAGCCCCACCCCACCCACAACCCTAACTGCAATGGTGAGAGGTGTGTCGCTACCTTTGTCGCTGGCGAGCCGAATGCCAATGTGCGAGTAGAGGAGTTCCCGCAGAACAGCTATCCACTGTTGGCGGACAGTGTCGGTGTCAGCGCCAAACATCCATGGCTCACAGCCGTCCGTCCTCGGCAGGGCAAAGAGATAGCGGTTGTTCTGAAGTGGCTGGGAGATGACCTCGGCAAGGCAAGACAAACCGATGGCAAGGCTGCTTCTGTATGGATTACGACACAGCGGACATGACAGTGGGCATACCAGTGACTACATGATCAACATCACACAAGTGATGGGTGACATTCTAAAATTGATGGCTATTCTAATTATTTTAGTGATCGAGAATCCATTGACAGGTAACAACCAACAGCAACCAACACTGGGTACATTCTGGGCTGTACGCAGACTATTGTGGGAGGCAGAATGGGATCATGGTGGAAGACCATGACTAGACTTTAGTACAGAGTTTGGAAGTGGAAACCGTGACCAGGTGCGAGGTTGCCATGGGCGCACTGAATGTGTTTGTCACTTTGCTGTGAGTGTTACTCACTTCCCACCATTACACCACATCCGGGCCTTGATCCTTGTGTGTGTGGGGGGGGGGGGGGGGGGGGGGTCCTATGTATGCAGAAAAGCCCATCCTGACTCACTGTCAATTGAACTTTGAAATTCATTTTATATTTTTTATTTTTTATACTGAAGTGCACAGTCCAGCAGAGAACGTAATCACGGGGAGGACAGAACCAAGGGAGATATGCCAATACAGTAGGGAGCTGAAGAAGTGTGCTGATGAATTGGGCCTACCTCCTGCGACCGTGGGTCGCAGGTTCAGCGGCAGGGCCACATTGACTAGCATAGCTCATTATCTTGAATTACCTCGTCACAACTACTACCTATCAAGAACATGTCTGTCTTGTCTACAGCACGGTGTCACCTGAAGGTCCACTTTATCAGTAAAGATCTAAACGAGGTACTTGCAATTTTTAAACACCTATCACACCTGTAAAGCAAGGTAATTATTTGGCAAGATGTCATGACGAACCCCGACATTTTCCGGCGCCCTCTATTCATTCATTTATATTCATTCATAGGATGGAGGAAGTTGAAGCGGGAAATGTGTGAGAAGAAAACAATTGACTGCCACCACCAGGACTCAAACCAGGGACCCTCGCTTATGGCCACTGGCAGCGATACTCTACCTCTAAGCTATGGTGTAGTCTCATCCCACTGAGCTGCGAACACTCATATTCTTCAGACTTCAAACTCATGCTTCCTGTGACCTGTGAAAGCGGTCGTTAAAGCCAGTTCAAGAATCAGGTCCCGTACATTCTTGGTATCTCGGATCGTGTACGTACACGTGCATAATTGTACTTCCATGTACTCATATTGACAGGTGTGGAGCATAGAATATTTTCATGCAAGCAAACGGTACACCTCACTCAAGTGTGCATCCTACACTGTCACTTGTCACTTCTGTTTACTGCATGCACTTGCCCTCAGTCGTATTTTTGGTCGCTGTGTGCAGGTCCAATATGGCACTTGGTACACTAAAGGTCGGTCAATGGTCACGCAAGGCAGGTGGTCGTTGTATCCGGTGCAGGTTCCGTGTAGAACTGTCCGTGCATGGAAAAAAGGTCGTCAAACGCAGGTGGTCGCTAAACAAGAGGTCGCTTACACCAGGTTTTACTGTACAAACTAGCATGCGGGGATATTCCTAAGGTTGAGAGAGTTAAAACAGGAATATTCTGAAGACTAAAATTGACTTCCACCACGATGACTCGAACCAGGGACTAGTTATAATTCTATGCTATAGTGATATTGAGACTGACTCAGCAGATGGTGAGGCAAGGAAAACATGTAACATGGAAAATGTGGGCACAAGTTGTGCGATCGAGTTCGACGAACTAAACCAGATTTTGAAAAGTCAGACGTGCACAATCTAGCACAAAACTGACAAGGAGTACTGAGACATTCCACGGCATGCTATCGAGCAGTGCTCAAGCTGACTTTCATGTCGTGGGATGGGTGTCAGTACTTGCTGTCAGTTTTGTGCTACATTGTGCACGTCTCACTGTTCAAAATCTGGTTTAGTTGGTGAACTCGATTGCATAACAAGTTGTGCCCACATTTTTCCATGTTTTAAAGAGATATTAAAAATAAAATGTAAGTCTTCGAAGCATCGCATAACTCAAGGAGAGCGCAACTCGACAATCACTCATCTCTTGGCGGATCTTCCACGGTTACAGTTACGAGTTTTTCGTGGTTTTTTGCTTCACTGATGCCATGATGTGTAGTCAGCGATTGACAGTGTAAAGAACTTGTGTATGACAGCTACGGTAGCTACAGCAGAACAACGGCCGGCCAATCCATGCAACCTGAGCCTGATGACCGGACACCGTATTTGCATAAGCCTGGAACGCCATACGCACTTGATTATACCTCTTCCTAAATGTATAATGCGCAACAAAAAGTGCCGTCCTCTGGGGTGAGTCCACCGAAGCTCAAGAAAAGGAGTTGTGCACTCTTGGGTATGTAACAGGTACTATTGGTGATCATATTTATCATGGATTCTAAGACTCGGTGGTTTGACGGTTCGATGGACGTCTTGTGTGCTCTGGGTGGCAATCGTGAGTCAGTCGGCGGGAAAGCGCGAGCTCCGGTGTGGGCAGCACCTTTCCTGATTCCAAGACTAGCACGTGTTAACCATAAGCACGGGTGTGTATAGAATAGAGTGTTTACAACACCACTGTTAGGCTGGCTGCAACTTACTTATCTCTGCATACCATCAGTGTACCTGCTTTGTCGGTCTCACTCCGTCTTGTCAACTCGCAAAATACGGTTTCCCATCTGTCTGCCAGCTGCCAAGTACACAGAAAACAGGAGTAATAGGAAAAGAATGGAACATTTTTTTGTGGACAAACATGGAAGTTGAAAAAAATTGGATATATATCTCGGCAAGAGCTGCTTTCTGTATGTGCTTCGATTCTTCTTTTATCAGATTGCATGAATGATGCCGGAGGTTGACAACTTGATATTGTTATATTGTCCTATTGTAGTCAGCTTCCAGTCTCCCCTGTGACGTTTTGATCCCAAACGGATCACAGGGAAAGCCAACTACGCATACACATTCACCCGCATGGTTGACGCACCGCAGTGCCAGGTGAAATCCAGCCCTGAGCAGCTCGTAAATGCGGCTGTGATCAAGAGGCTGATTACACCCTGCATGACGGCACACATACATACACAAGCACCGTCGTAAGTACAGAAGATAAGGTAACGGGTGATACTATGCATCATGTACATACGAGCTCGTATCACGGCAGCGGCGGTGACACGGGACCCAGACATATCCTGTATGTGTGCCGCGACCTAGCCGCATCCTGATAAATACAGATGGCAGGTCCTATCGGAAATGCTGATAAATACAGATGGCAGGTCCTATCAGAAATGCTGATAAATACAGATGGCAGGTCCTATCGGAAATGTGATTAATTGCACTCTTCATGTATCTAGTAGGTGTCATGATCAGCGTTGACAGAAATTGTGGACACAAATTGAGTGAAAGTGAACCATTAGACCCAGAAGCTTCCATAGCCACACAGACAACATGCACATACCATCTGGGGAAGACTACGTCAGACTCTCCTCGATTGAATTATGCCAAGAAAAACTGCTAGCAACGAGCTTATAGCTACGCATACAACTCAAAAGAATGCCTGGCAGATATCCGTTACATGGCACGATAAACTGTACAAAGCATCTTTGTTTACTCTGCAGGTGGCAAGTCCTATTGTTAGATGCAAGACCGACATCACTGTAAGTCTGTAAGTGACTGTGACATAGCTCATTGGCAACATTACCGGCTACCGTGAGAAGATAGCCGATTCATACTCCGGGATGAATCACGACACGTCAGCGTTACCCAGAAACAAATATCTATGGCTCACATGCACACCGACACCGACACACACCACCGACACACACACACACACACACACACACACACACGCACGCCGCAGTGCAAGCACCGCAGAGGGATATTCTAAAATATCCTGATAACTCAATCCTGGACTGACTACAGGGGCATCAACAGGTCCCCGACAACTACATGTCCACACTCAAGAGCATACCCGTACTACACATGTGTAAGAACATGATTGTTAACTTAAGTGCTTGTGACCAGAGCATGTGCATACACATGTACTGTAGTAGACCCACATTGGCCATGTGTACTGACCCAGACCAATCACACGAACCTGAGCTACAAGCACAGGGTACTAGGGTACTGTCACATTGTCATGGAAGTGCTCAAGTCACAAGAAGTGATTAATTACAACTACCCTTAGCATGTCATGTAGTCTAACTCTAAGACACATGTACATTAACTTTTACAGTCATGTTGATGGTAATCTTGGCTACTAATGGTATACCAGGTTTGATTGAATCACTATTACGAAGTATAAACAGTCAACGCCACCAAAGCAGGCACTGACATTGCCCTGGGTACTGGTATGCACCAGCCTCCCCGGCAGCAGACTCCTGTACACTCAGTGCCGAAGCTGTGCCGTGGCTGCTGCTGCTCTGACAAAAATGATTTAGTAGAGGGCAATGTCGCACCGTAAGTAATAGTTGCTACTAAGTTCACAAGATGTGAACTTAGTAGCAACTATTACAGCTCTATTATACTATCGTCTCGCCCATGGTTCGTGTTGACAGGACACGACACACATGCACACGCAGGCGCGCACGCACACACACACGCACACACACACGCACACACACACGCACATAATACATGATACTGCAGTACACCAAGAATACGTCCACAGCTACTTAGTAGCAGTAAAATGGGGACACCTTCAATCTGGTGCTGGCAGTGTTTATGCAGAGGAGGCTAAGTGGATAGATATGTCCTATCCCATCATCTACTTACATCCACTCCAAGAAGATATTCAGAGTGAATACCTCCCGCTTACAATCTCAACCTAATAATAGATCACAATGAGCCCATACTGCATAATCATTAGGATTCCAGCTGACACCGATTAAGGTCATGTTGACTATTACAGAAGGAGCCGAATCAACTGCACGTTTCTCTCGCACTTGCCTGATACATGCTCTTCAGACTGCCTGTGTACCCTCAGTCCAGGATAATGAGGCCGAATGCTTAGCTACACGATACAGATTATGAGATAGACACGATGCCGGAGTCCATGGCAAGTCCATGGCGCTGTGACTAAAGTGCACAAGCACCTTGGGCAGACTCCCATGTGCTAGGACACTGGCGGTATTATGTGTAACTACCAAGTACTCAAGTACTACTACAGCGCCTGACTCAGCAGTCACCAGCCTGTTTGCAGGGTTCTGTCCATCACGTTCCTCTCCTCGCAGATACATGCTCCTTTCTCCGGGGACAACCACACAGCCGTACCAAGCCAGCATTCTCTTGGGAAAGGGCTCCCCGCCAGCTTTTCTTCACCGCAGTGCTACCCACGGCGGACACATGCGGATGCGGATAGTAAATCTCGACGCACCTACCAGATTTCATCAGGTCATGCTTGACAACCCAGACAGGTAAACAGTGACAGCAGAGGCTTGCCCAAAACGCACACCAGTAGTGAATCCCTGTGCACCATGCAAGGCTCGCGATTACTTTGATAAGTACAAAACATACTGGTGGAGCTGGATGCTTGTGCTGGGTACTAACAGCGGCCTCTGCCAAGAGGAGCATAGTGGTATTTTAAAACACCACTATGCTCCTCTTAGCTCTTGTTCACACCATGCGGTGGGAAGCCAGGGAAAAGAAGTAGATGGTGCGAAATACGCCCGGAGTACATTCAGCACGGGACATCCGCATTGCGTGGAGTGTTTCCCCGCTGCGTACGGTGTGACTGTGTATTTGTAGTTATATGTTCATACTCACGGATTCTCCATAGGCCTTCGCCTAAACCGTGCTCCTGCATTACTTACGAGGGCAGGTTTCCGTGCGTGCTTGTTTGCGCGACTGCCATGGCACTAACAGCAGCGAGCAACCCTGTGTTCTAACATTGAATGCAATGCTTCGCAGCTTGTACCCCAACTTCGGACAGGTGACTGTAATGTTGTTGCAACCAAAAGAATCTGGTATTGTCAGAATGAGATTGATCAACAAAGCAAGCCCCAAGGCTTGCCTGACTGAAAGGTTTGTAGAATCTACACTCCGTACCAGTGACAAGTACTGAGGGATATGGCCATGATGCCATCACCACTGTGACCCGCCAGTCAGAACAGTGGGGTCAACTTCACACTGGACCATAAGGGCTGTAGATCTTCAGGGTATCGTGATGTATCCACAAGGGGTACTTTCCATTGCGAATATAACTCCCCACACGCAGGGAGGTCAGGGAGAAAATGTTCGTTGAAGCGTCACAACTGCAAGAATGTGATACTACAAAAGCTTGGCGTGCACGAGACTGGCACACTACACACCCACACTGGCCACAGCAGGAAACATCGACATTCCAATGACTTACCTTATAACGGCCTCTCTTCAAGAAGAAGAGATACCCCGACTTCTTCATGCTGCTGCTCATCACGCTCGCTCCACCCGCAGCACGACTATCATCACACCAAATACTTCCGCTTCTGGCCTGCGCGTAGGGTTTTTACTGGCACCCACCGAGCGTTCTTCAGAAGTCGGTGATCTGCCTGCAGTCTTGATTCTTGCTCAACTAACTTGGTAAATGTCTGCCAGTGATGTGATCTTGTGGATGAATAGATTTGTGAGACCGCACACTCGAGCAACTGTCCTGCGGGCGATATAAACCAATCCACACCACCGTATGTTTGCGAACTAGGATGATTCGCTCGAACTCAGTCAAAGCGGACAGTTTCGGTCCGTTGACTTTCACCCACCAGCCGGCTTCACTTGCGCTCCGGACCATCCGACCGGTCATGCGGTAGTTGTACTGCAAAGCATATACCAAGTGGCTGTCTTTTACATTTCTCCACCATCGCCACCGCTCCTATAGGCCAGAAAGATGGTTCAAGTGAGTTGGTTGGCCTTGCTTCGCGAACAGCTCTTTACATACCGCCGACAACTGATATGCACAGCAATCTGCGCTCCGTAGATCTACATCGACGAAGTCGGAGTCCAAACTGACCAAAGCATGGAAAGTTCGATACGCTCGGCCCGGTGCTACATAAAGGACATAAAGGTTCAGCCGGTGCTCGACGCAAATTTAGCCCAAAATATCACCTATGTCATGATGAATATGGACGCTCCCGCTAACTAGCAAGCTGAGACTGGTCGTTGCTGGAGAAGCTAGCTGCTGGCCGGAGAGCTAGCAGTAATGAAGCGCGGTCTCGAGATCTACACAACGTGTGTACTAGTCGGCAGCAGCTCGGGAGCAAGTCGACCACATTGTTACGATTTCCTCTCAGTCCGTCTCTTTTTTTCTCTAGGCAAAACTGCATGTAAGCACTCTGAGCGTGTCTGCTGTCCTTTCGGTCAGACGACAAGCAGAGAAAGCAGGTAGAAGTGGCTGCGCGAGTAGGCACTTAGCGTCAGGCGAGAGCAGGTCATGTCCGAGACGAACAAAAACAGGCGACGGTGACGCTCACCACAATCATATGCGCAGAAACACTGGACAGGATTCTGCTTGCTCGGGTGAGATTCATCTGAGCACGAACAGCAAGCGGCATTACTAGTGCCCTACTTTAGTCCACGGTGACTCTTCGCATAACCCGGAGCACACCTCCCTGGCTGTACTCGGCATAACAACGTTACGTGCCACAGTGGAGACGAGCTGTCCGAAGAAAACACAAGCAAGAGAGCAGCACGAGCACACTACTATGTCACTAGTATCAATGAGACGGTCCATGCCTCTCAAGCCTTCCTGTTTTCCGTGTGGCGAATCCCGCAGAGAAATACGGCGAAGAGTTCTTGGACCTGTCCGCCTAGCCAACGTCTGTTGTTTGTCTTCGCTGCCTGATCTTATTATACGTCGTGCTATAGTACTGGTAGACCTTTTCTGTACTCGTGTTTTCTAAACAGTAAACTGTAGTCAGCAGCTGCAGGACAAGTCACTGAGTCTGTAGTGTTTAGCGGCCTGGTTTCCGCCTTTCTGCAGAAATAAGGTGTGACTGTCGACAATCATGTCCTCCTCCTGACCTGTCCATGTGCGAGGTCACAACATACATTGTAGTAATTGTTGAAGTGACTGTGTTAGTTGGAGGCGTACCGGTGCCGCTCCGGTGTGCATGTGCAATGCATCGATTTCGCCATGTTTTCGTGAGCTGTAGGTCTACAATTGTAGTAGATCTACGACTAGTACAATGTAGCATCTGTGCGAAGCGGTACATAGCAGTTGAATACCTTTTTTACATCGCTCCTCGAAGTACGAAAGTGCACCTACATGTACATGATTGTAATAGTAGGAATTAGGGGAATCAGGGGAACGAAGCGTAATCAAGGAAAGGAGGGAAAGAAACAGTTTAACTTTAAAGGCTCTGATTGGTAGTAGTAGTAGTAGTAGTATTCTTTTATTTTCCATCGGAAGCCTCAACAGTGATGAACACAACTCTTAAGAGGGCCGATAACAGGGTAGAGGGGTGTGGGGTGAGGAAAAAAAATAAAATAATAATAATAGGAGATATTTAAACTAAACTAAACTGATACTTGGAACAATAAAGCAGCAGTAAGCAGTAAGCAGTAAACACAGGTATACAATACAAGCGATGCAGATGAATGAGGCCGTTTGCTGAAAAGAAGATCTAAATACTTCTGAAAAGACGCTGCGTCTTTAAGCATGGTCATAATGGGATAGTGCAAGAATTAAAGAGATGTGAGGAAAGAAGGGGAGCACGAGCGGGGACTACTGTACTAGCATAATTATAACTATGCCGTAATTACGTAACTATAATTGTAGCAAGTAGGGGTGAAAGGGGTGATCCGGGTAACCCGGGTACCCGTCTGTTTAGCTGCTGATCCGCAAACCAGTACCCGTTAGTCGTGTACGACGGTATGGTACGTTATAATTAGCTGGCTTGTACAGTCGTACAGTTCGATGTACAGGTTGAATGTGTTGTTGCGGGTTGGATCCTGCTACATAATTATCATGACAATTTGGACTGTTTTGCATGTAGCGCAGTAAGTGGGCATGCTGCGCTTGTCGCGATGTAGTGCACTTGCTGTGAATTGCATGACATCGCAGATCCTCCTGGCACGAAATGCGAAAGGCTATTGTATAGCAACTGTTACTATTGGCTGCTAAAGGGTACCCAATAACCCGCCCGTTAAGCCACGTACCCGTTTGTAACCTTGAAGGGTAACCGTTTCACCCCTAGTAGCAAGTCTACAATAATGGTCTACACACCAAGTGCCATTTTGATGATAACTTTAGTTTCCCTTATGCATGTAGAGAGGGAGAGAAGAACCAAAGGCTAAAGTAACTTGTTGCTGGAACTCCGAGTTTCACGTGATCATCAGACAGCACAGTGTAATGGCTGCAATGTAGTTTGCAAGTACAAGTACAGTCATGTAGACACATAGCCGGCCAGTGGGCGAAGGAAGGAAGGAGGACAAGTAGAAAAGTAGGAACCTCGTTCTCATCAAGACCAAGTAATTTTGTCAGTATTCAGCCATGACATGTTACTCAGGTAGGTGGGTGAATAGCGCTCTCGCCTTCACATCACGTGACATGTACAATAACTAAAGATGTACTCCTTTTGTACTTCGAAATACATGATTGTGCAAACAATGATTATGGGAGTAAGAAGTCTGCGGTGATCCATATTCAGTGATATCGTCAAAGAGGCTTCGAGTAGACCTACAACTGACGGCAGTCATACTCACAGACAACGTGTGACACTGGCAATCCTACCATTTGGAGGCATGTTTACGATCAAACGGTCTCTTGAATGAGATACTGGACGCTTGTGGAGTTTGAAGAAGACGTGCCGAATGTTGTTCTTGCTAGATTATCTACCTACTAGATCTACTCGTTGAAGTAAGCTAACATAATGATTGCGAGATCGAATCAGTTTCATCGCTGAAAGTGAGTGAAGCGGAAGCAAGTCGCGCGTCTAGAACTCGAACGACACAATGGTAGGGGTCAGTGTGAATTCAAAGTCGTCGAATGATGCCCGTCCCCTTGCCACTCCACTCGAGATGTGTGCATTCGAGGAGCCGCTAAAGAGAATGTGTCCTCCCCCTATCGGTTGTCCACAGATCTGGCAACATTGAGGTGAAGCTTGTTGAGATCTGCAGGGCATCCCAACACCATGCTGCACGTATACATTGTAGATCTACACCAACGGGCAATACTCCCCAATAGGCCGGGTCGGCCTATTGATAACTGCAGAAATGGGTAAAAAGTTCTAAAAACATGATCCATTGATTATGCATGCAGCCAGTCGGCTAGAAGTGCAACCTCCAACACAAGCAACAGTTACCTTCTACCAGGGAGTCGTAAAATACCGGTATTTTACGACTCCCTGCCTTCTACTACAATACCTACATGTATGTACTCTGAGTCTCTGGCTTTGGTTTACTTACATATGGTCAAGTACATTTTCCGATACGTTGCCAAGAACTACATGTAGGATGCAAAGGTAGAAATACTAAAAAAGAGGTATTGGAGAAGCCCGAGCCAAAACGCGGTCCGCCTGCAGCCAAATGAGAGCCAGAGGAAGAAGGAGTGGGTGCTGGAAAAACTGACACGTACTGGCTATGCAACCAGGGAACGTTACGATTGTTAGAGCACTGAAGACAACACCAGGCATCACTATGTCACGCTTTTCAGTCAGGTTGACACGGAAGTCGGAAGCAAACAGCTACTAGGGCACGGTGCGACGTGACGGAACACAGCGTGTACATGAATCGGGGAAGGGGGAGGAAAGCAGGGAGACACGCACTTAAACAGATCATTATAAAACCTAACAGCAGCAGGTATAGAGGTTGTCCGGCAAACCCACGGGCATAGTGAATGGTACGAAAGCACAAGCCAAAGAAAAAGGAAGAAGATGAAGAGCATCACAAATCAAGTTGAGTATCCTTATGATCCGGTAACATGCAGGCTTTCCTAGCCTATGAAAAAGAACATGCCCAAACAGTACGACGCGTATATTTCCATTTTTGAAAAACAAGTAAAAAAGAAATACGAGTATTTCTGGTGTTGAAAAAACCCCGCTTGAAGTGCCTACTTAGTAAAGAGCATGCATGCACTGGGCATATGCCCAAGGGATAAAGGGCAGCATACCGCCATAATCTACATATGCCCAAAGATAAAGGGCAGCATAGCGCGATAATCTGCAAATAGAGGTCAAAGTATATCAATATCAACATTCACATACGACAAGCACTCAGCATAGCATGCGCACATACCCGGCGAAGAAACGCTTCGTGTCACAATGGCAAGTTCCTAGCTGACAGGGCGGAGTCCAAGGCAGCGTAACCATTAGGAAACACAAGCGGGTATCTGTTGGAATCATCAAGCTCCCATAGGTCCTTGTTGCGCTGTTCAGCTGGGATTATTGTGCAGAATGGACAATGTACGCTGGAAGAAGAGAGAGGCTTTGTCAACGGATCCGTGCATGTTCCTAGACAGCCATGCCTCCCTGAACAACTGCCCAACTGAAATCAATCTAGACAAGAAACAGATGGCCAACAGAACGGATAGAATTGATACATGTACTGCACCTCAACTTTGGATATGACTTTGGAATATGAAATGATGTTCGATGATGGACACACGTGCAGATTTATAGACATTTGTTTAGGTACAAAGTGCAGTATAAACACAAGAAAATACAGTACTTGAACAAGGGAAGTACCGCTATTCAGTCGCTACCAGCAGCGCTGGCTCACGATTTACACAGTGAGCCTGAGGGTTGTCCGTAACTGGTTAAATTTAGGTAGCGGCAATGTGCAGTACGGGAATACCAGATGCAAGTCACGGCAAGGAGTGGGACGTACCTATTGGCTAAATCGGTGCGGGCCGTCGGGCTCAAGCTAGCCAGTGCTTCTGCCGCGCTACCAGTGGTCTTACCGCTTAGCACCAACTGTTTGCTTGCACTGGAAACATCACAACAGGAGAACAACAGAGTAGTACGTCTGTAGAGCAGTTCTACAGAAGTAGGCATGCACTGGAATGTTCCCAGACTCCCTGTAGTATTCAAAACTCCAGAAACACCAAAAAAAAAGACGAAACGAGAGAGCTTGGAAGCTTAGGGCCCTACGCTATGCTTTGTTGCCTAGATCATCGTGCATGTTGTTAGAACTGATGGAAATGTTTTTTCCTTTCATTAGCTACATCATGATTATTGCAAAAACGTTTCAATGAGTTACTGAAGTAACGTCTTCTGCATAGCTACGGCACCGGCGCTGACTCTGCCGATCACGGGCGTTCTGGAGTTGACGGGATGTCTATCCTGACCTTTCCTGGGACCGGCGCTGACTCTGCCGATCACGGGCGTTCTGGAGTCGACGGGATCTCTCTTCCGACGTTTCCTGTGACCGGCGCTGACTCGCCCGTTCACGCATATTTTGGAGACGACGGGATCTCTCTTCCAAAGCATGTTTTTGCTGACGCATCCTATCACCTATTCGGCAACTAACGTCCATTCTAATTGCATTTCCTCCTCGTCTCCCTATTTCTTTCCAGAAAATCTCCCTATACATCAGGGAGTCGTATACATAATACGACGAATATTGTGGCCAGCTGTGTTTGATGGTACGGTACGGGACAGATACGGGATAGCGCCAGCAAATATTGTGGCCAGCTGCTTGCGGCCAGCTGTGTTTGATGGTACGGTACGGGACAGATACGGGATAGCGCCAGGCGTGACACAAACAAACAAACAAATAAATAAACACCAAACTAAAGCTGTGTGCACCCTGGCTAGCGCCAGACGTTACTGAAGTAACGTCTTTTGCATAGCTACGGGAATAACACCTATACAGTAACACCCATGCCCGTATGTACAAACACAGACACGCACACAGACAAAGAAATGAGCCGGCATACACACGTGCTTACCGGCAAACAAACATGAAGAGCTCAACGATGAAGGAGAGCTCTGCCATAATGCCAGTACTCTGTGCACAGGACATTCTCACGTTAGCCAGCACAGCCTGGCAATGGCGTACCTCTCGTAACGCGCTCTGTAAGCACCAACACATCCACGTACGCACGTGAACACACACACACACACACGTGCACACACACACACACACACACACACACACACACACACACACACACACACACACACACACATACACACACCACAGAATGGCTACTACTATACTGACTTCGAAATGCATACTATAGAGCACAGCACCATTATCTTAGGAATAAATCCTACATACTGGTTCCAAGTGTCTTAGACTGCGTTCCTTTTGGTCTACATGGTAGAGATGAGGAGATTTTGGAAAGAGAAAAGAGGGTGGATGTAAGTTCACGAACGCAAACCTACCCATTCCAGTAGATCATCGATGCAGCAGCCATTTTATACGGTGTATAAACCATCTTCGCAACACCTACAGTATGATGCATGCTACTGCATCAAGCATCTTCGCAACACTTACGGTATGATGTATGCTAAGTTACTGTGAGGTAAAGCAGATCTACTGGCTGTACATGTTCAAAGACGGCTACTCTACAAACTTCTACTGGTGAGTGGTCGTACATGTACAAAATACCACAGCTCTACCAACTTCTACCGTCTCCTGTCAGCCTCAAACCGGGTAAAGCCGGTTGTGGAAAGTAGAATCTACTGTTAGGGGTAGAAAAGCAGGAACACATCTACCGAAAGAAGTAGATTCTACCGGACCCTGTAGACCAAAACGACCCCCCCCCCCCCCATAATTATGTAAAAATAGAGAATGATGATGCTGTCACTAGCGCTTGTTGACTAACCTGAACCAGTTCGGCAGAGAGCGGCGGCAGCAGGAATTTGTCCGGCCGCAAGGACATGTAAAACAGCGCAGGCTGCCACCAGGTGTCGTCGTGTAGGAACGACCTTGCTGCGACGGTATTATGACCAACGCTGCTGTTGCTGCTGCCGGCTGTTGCGACTGGCGTTGACGCGCTCGAGCCGCGCTTGCGCTGGCCAGCGCCGAGCCCGACGGCGGACACCAGCGATGATGCACCGCTGGCATCTGACGAGGAGGAGAGCGCCTGCGAGCGAGGCACCTGCGGCGAAGGCCGGCTGGTGATGGAGTGCGGGCAGAGCAGCGCCGAGTGAACCAGCTGCAGGTCTAGCAGCAGCTGGCCAGCCACCTCGGCTTCGTCCATCAGCACAAAGCGATTGATCACGTTGGGCACCTGCTGTTCCAAATGCCCCTGTTCAGTACACGATGCAGCAGTCCACAGTGAAAACAAAAGATGCTTACACGACACGTATTGAAACACAACAGGAAATGCCATGAAAATCATTCAAGACCTACTCGGATAATACATGGAATGGGTATACTAGTAGTAGCTTATGTGCACATTTCCAGAAACCTATTCTCCTCCATAAGAGCACATAGGAGCCCTACTGTTACGACCACTTGTACAGCACACTCAGGCAACATAATTATATCTCCTGCATACTAGCCTAGAGCGCACTGTCGTCTTGCCAGTCACCTCGGCAATGCAGCGACATGTGTTCCTCGTCCGGTTTCCAACCTTGTGCACTTAGCTGTAATAACCAGTCCTGTTCTGTCTTCCTGGCTCCTCCATGGTTGCCTCTCACCTCCATATCATCACCACAGATAGTGTAAACGTCCAATGTGACAGTATCGAAGAACACTACCAACATACCAACCGTATGGAAGGAGTTACTCTCAGTGTACGCGAGCACAATGACTTACCAGTGGTGTACCCGTTCTCCACGCCAGTCCAGCAGTAGATACAAGCGGCACGGTGCTGGACACCAGCGGATGCACGTGCCCAAAGTCGGCAAAGTCCGTCAGCATCATGCCCGTCGCCCTGTAGTGCGTGGCGCACTGGGCCACGGCGACCAGCTGCGCCATGCTGGTGTGCGGACGACCGCCAATGCTGTGCGCACACACACACACGTACACATACACACACGTACGCACATACACACATGCACACACGCACGCACACACACACACACACACACACACACAGCAGCAATAGTAACACAAAACTCCTAACTGATGACCAGGGCTCCAAATGTAGTCTTCTTCACAGCAGACTATCTCAAGGCACATGTACACTCACAGGCACAGCTACTGCAAGCATCACTTACCTACACTGTATTCCATACAACCCTACAACTGAAATGGTTGCACTTAGCAGTGGACAAAATAAATGATGAGCCAGAGGCAACACAAATCTGTGACCTCCCTACTTTGCGGAAAAAGTTCAAAATTTCAAAAGTAGTTACGGAATGACAGCTAAGGCCGCAATCACACTATGCCTTTTGCATCCAAACGCGACTGCGAACAATGAAAAAAAACTTGAAAGACACACATACAAATGCAATCTCTGGCCAATCGCATCATAATGGTGGGCAGTCAGCGATTACGTGGCAATTCTCTTAGATACGTTAGACTAGAGGTAACAAGGTCTTGCATGCAGCCCCAGTGTAAGAACGAACACAGCCTGATGCAACATGTTGAATTGTTTTTAAACAGTGATCCAGCCCGGGATGGCAGAGGGAATGCTTTGGCTTCCCCGAGCTATACAGGAAAAAATCGCTCACAAGAATCAAAACATGCGCCCATGACCAAAATGACACCATGCTATAACGGAACAAAACAGTGCCAACAGTTCTGCACGGGACAGCCCATAATAACTAACCTTTCTTTGGCCAAACTGTCGGGACAGACAATTAAATTTGAACTGCAGACAGAAGTAAAGAAGACGGGCATCGCATGAGTACGAGTATCCAAAAGAAACACCGTTACAATTATAGCATTGTAGAAGTCCTAGGCAGCTAGAGACCGTAACATAGTTACAATATAGCAGTGTAGAAGTCCTAGGCAGCTAGAGACCGTAATGTACTGTAAGAAAACTCAGTTAATGCTACACAGTGTTGCCACATCATTCTAGCCAAATATCAGTAGCATGAAAAAATAAAATGCATCATCCGGGGGATTTGTCCCCGGACCCCCCCCCCCCCCCCCCCCCTATATAGCGACCTCGATACACACACATGCGGCACTGATAAGAAAAAAACATTTCACGGTTTTGCGTGACAATCAGGCTGAGTTTGCCGATTTTTTCCCGAGACGGATGATGATTTCGCTTAGCGCTTCAGGAGAGAGCTACGGAAACACTCGTGATGCGCAGTAAAAGTCAACAATCTGGATCATGACTCCTAAACCATGCATAAGGTCAACCTTGAACACTTTCATGGCTGTTGTCGGCAGGAGAAGGTCAATTGTCGGCAGGTCGTGACATGCCTCAAAAATCGGCAGGCTACTGACATGTCGGCAGGTGTGGCAACACAGGCTACAGCACATTCACATAGAATATAATGCAACACTAGGTCTTCAAGAGAGTGAAACAAACGTTTAACAAACGCACTGTACTCTTACCCAAACTGCACGATCCTCCGACAGAACGGAGCATTCTTCTCTTGTGTGAACTGCAATAGCGCATATGCACGCACACCCACCCACACAGGTACACACCCATAAACACACATATACATATGCACGCGCACGCGCACACACACGCGCACGCGCAAAAGACAGCAAACAAGAGTAGCCAGGGCCAGTCAGACACACTGTAAAGAGCGCTCCACCTCACCGCTACACACAAACTGAATACAGAATAGGCAGGGGGAGGGGGGGGGGGGGGGGGGGGAGGGCAAGTGGAAGTAATGTGGCTGGATTATCGCACACACTGTAACAAGTCTTCATATTCACAGTGTGCCTCAAATAGATCCAGCCTGCAACACACAGACAGCAGGCCTCCGCACACACACAGAGACAGAGCTGCTGCGGCTACATTGATATGTGCATGCTAAATACATCAACACGTGGAGCGGCTGGCCTCACAAACGCCGACAAGCATCTTGCTGACCAGACCAGCTCCAATGTTGCTTCCGAGATGCAAGACGGATACTTGCTTGGTCAGTTGCAACGGAAGAGCATGCACTAAGTAGTTGTGTATTGATAGGTAAATCCTGTAAGACAAAGAGAAACAGAGGAGACCACCTACCTGTCCAAGCGGCTGCATAACCGTAACAGACGGTGGCAGCTGAGAGAGAAGAGAGTAGCGGATTTGAAGCTCACTGCCCCATACTTGCATGTGACGACTGTTCAAGCGACACGTCTTGTGCATGGTCCAAAGGAAACCTTCATAGGCGTCACCTTCCTCTCCTTGCGACTGTACACAGACACATAATGCCAGAAGCCATGGAATGATGCAACACAAAACGTTGTGGCAGGTTACTGCTTGCAACACGACAGCAGAATACGGAAGTCCATGAACTCATTGACACCTAGTTTCTCCCAGGGCAACGAACAATAAATTACGCTGCACACAACCTGTGCCACAGAACACCAGCAGCAACGGCGTTGTCACTAGCAGCAGAAGCAGCAGCAACAATGGAAGCAAGGCTTGAAGCGATAACTCACAGGGCTAGAAGGAAAGAGGTTGTTTGGTGGTTGGTCCAGACCTACGTGTGCAAACCTATAAGAATACATGGAAGCACAGAACACCATTTGACCATTTGACGCCCATCGCTGGATGCGATGCTACAGCAGAAGCCATAGCAACTTGTGCTGGGATTGCACCATTCAACAGCTTGCAAGGCTGAAGAATTGACCGCCATTATTCAGCCTGGTCTACACCACACAGCTATGAAGTGACTTTTCCTGGCCAGTGAATCCCTACTTTTTGGTCTTTTTTCATTTTTTTCCCGCAGACACATCACACCACATACTCCGGCATGAACTGGCTGTCGGTAACCACCCAGGAGAATGAAAGGAAAGTCAGGAGTCTGAGAAGGAGAAGAAAAAGACATGTGCGACCATAATCGTCGGGAATCGAACTCACAACCTCTCGATTGGAAATCGCTGCACATACCACTGCACCATATGGCACCCACACCCACACACGCACGCGCACACACACACATATACACACACAGTTAAGATAGCAAGCCACTTGGTAGGATAGCAACAAAGAGCAATATAGACCATACCGGATTTCTCTCTCTCTCTCTCCTCTCTCTCTCTCTCTCTCTCTCTCTCTCTCTCTCTCTCTCTCTCTCTCTCTCTCTCTCTCATAGCAACCAGCCATCGCTAAATTAAAAAGGCCAACATGCACTTACTTGCTGCCCGGCATGCATGCAAATAGCTGCTGTTGCAACTGAGCGAGAGCACCCGCTAAGTCTCTATAGTCACTGCAGCGTGACAGGAACATCAACAACAACAAAAACAACAACAACACCACCATCAATAGAACACCAACACCAGCAACACCAACAACTCCCAGTCTTTCATGGTGCTGGCAATTACTGGGAGTGCATTCTCCAACCAGGGCTACTTGTTGAATACAGCGATAAGTCATCTGCATAACCAGTTTCATGGGGGCGTGTGATAAAATAAAATAAGATGAAGATATTGACGAGAAAGAAAGACAATAAAATAAGTACTTCGTTTGCGCCGTAGCCGCATCCAGTGCAGCGCCAACTCAACGCTCTGGCTTCGTGAGCCAGGCGTTCGCACCAATGACAGCACTTACAGCAGCCGCCCCTCCGTTTGTGCCGAAGCCCAGCGTGACGGTGCACGGAGCAGCTACCAGTAGTCAGCCGACAATCTTGCGTGAGGTCAGACCCGGCCTGACATACACCAGCACACCGGCGTATCCATATCAGCCTATGCCTGTACCACAGTACATGGTTTCAACAGCAGCACCCCAGTACCCGAGTAGCCAAGCACAAGCAGTGCCAGCCCACCAAATCGGACAGCATCAGGGTGCCCCGACAGTGACGCCGGCCTACCGCCCGAGTGGCCACCTCAAGGCACTGAAGCTGCCCATGTTTGATGGCAATGAAGACAATTACGTGAGATGGCGGCAGAAATTCATGGGACTGGTCGGCGCAGATCCGAATGTCACAGAATACTACAAGATGGCACGCCTGAGGGAGGCTCTCGCGGGTGGCTGTGCTGAGGAGCTGATAGAAGACGTCATGGACGGGCCGGGGGCCTATCAGGCAGCCATGCAGGAGATCGAGGCCTGGTATGGTGGTGAGGATCGTCAGATCGAGCGGCACGAGCAGGAAATCATTACGTGGCCGAAGATCACTACCATGAAGGACACTGAGAAGATAAAGAAGTTCGCATTGAAGCTGCGGAGTGTCCTGGTGAACATGAGGTCATGTGGTATAACCCCTGGCCGAGAGCTCTATCTCGCTGCAACGGAGAAAGTCCCGTCGTCAATGCTGCTCAAGTACTTTGAGAAGTATGATGACCAGAAATGCGATGTACAATCATTCGCGGACTGGCTGCTTCACGTCGTGCACATGATGCGGAAGGTGGACGAGCGCCAGCGCAACAGCTACAAGAGCCAAGCAGTGTCATCCAGCAGCAGTTCGGACAAGCGCCAGGCTGCTGCAGAAAGACAATCCGCTTGTGGCAGTCAGAGGACCAAATTGTCAGAGCGCCGTCAACACTACACCCTGACAACAGCCGCCGAGAGCAGCGAGCGGAAGTCAGCCGGTACTCCGAAGAGCTGCATCAAGTGCGGTAAGCAGCATCAACTTGCAGACTGCCATGAGTTCGCGAAGATGTCAGTTGCTGAACGCTGGAGCTTCGTGAAGCCCCTCAACATCTGCATCTGTTGCCTGAGACCGGCTAAGCATCGATCGGCAGAGTGTCGCAACAAGCCCTGCGACATGTGTGGGCGGAAGCACCACAGAATGTTACACTCGGAGAGAAAGCCCAGCGAACAGGCGCCGGTAGTTAAGGCACAAACCGCCGAAGGTGACAAAGCGGGTGCACATTCGTCTGCTGCCGTCAATGTCGGAGCCAGCTGCTTCGCGAGTGACAGTCTCTCCCAGTCTCAGCACGTATCGTTCATGACAGTGCCGGTGACAGTGAAGAATGGTCCTCACGTCGTCGAGGCTACCGCACTGCTAGATTCGGCATCATCCGTCAGCTTCATCAGAGAAGACCTGGCCAAGCAGCTGAGTTACAGCGGAGATGTCGAAACACTGACGACTACCGTACTAGGTGGCAAGACCATCCGAGGTGACCGTGAGAGAGTAGCGGTTACTATCACCCGACAGGGAGGCGACGAAGAGTCTGCATTCTCTGCCTTCGTCCTTCCAACAGTGACTGGTGCCATCAAGCCTGTCGACTGGAACGCGCAGAAACAGAACTGGACGCACCTGAGCGACATCAGGTTCCCAAGGCACCAGCAGCATGCTCAGGTGGACATCCTCATTGGACTCAATGCGGCACAGCTTCACACGTCCCTGGAGGAACGGCATGGCAAGCCTGGTGACCCGCTAGCTCGGTTGACACCACTCGGGTGGGTGTGTTACGGCGCAACTGACAACTCCTATGACCAGCCCGAGATGACATGTGTTGGTGCATCTCTCGTCGGGTCTACGCAGGACCTGAGACTAGATGAACTTGTCAACAGCTTCTGGGAGTTGGAGAAGGTCGGCATGGGTGAGACATACTCAACACCTGATGAGCAACGGGCAGAACAGCTAGTGACCGAGTCGATTCAACACGATGGATCGCGTTTTGAGATGGGCATCCCGTGGAGTGCGACGAGCGGGATTCCGAGCCTCGAGTCCAACGCAAAGCAGGCTGAGCAGCGGCTTCAGTCGTTGGAGCGCTCGCTCGCCAAACGACCGGCTGTGTACGAGGCATACCGGAACGTGCTGTCAACCTACATGACGAAGCACTACATCGAAGAAGTTGAGCCCACCACAGCGGCAGAGGACGGAAGTGATCAATGGTATCTTCCCCACTTCCCAGTCGTGAGGAATGATCGCGTGACCACCAAGGTGAGAGTCGTCTTCGATGCGTCCGTCAACTGGGGAGGTACGTCTATGAACGAGGAGATGTATGCTGGCAGAAAGACACAGAACAATATTGTTCACGTCCTGCTTCGCTTCTGCCTGGAGCCGGTGGCCCTGGTCGGCGATATATCAGAGATGTTTCTGCAGATCCAGCTACGTCAACAAGACCGCAAGTACCACCGCTTCTTGTGGCGGCACGACCCGCAGCACGAGCCGAAGGTGTACCAGTTCAACCGCATCGTCTTTGGTGTAAAAGCGTCACCGTACCTGGCGGGTAGAGCTCTCGAGGAGACCTCCAACAAGTTTGGCCATCTCTACTCAGCTGACGTATCGGCCGCGGTCCACGATGACACTTACGTAGATGACCTACTCCATTCGTGTGCTGATGATGACACAGCCAAGCGTGTGCGCCTCGAGGTGAAGTCACTACTCCATGATGGTGGATTCAACATCCGCAAGTGGCTGTCCAATTCTGCAGCAGTAATGGCCGATGTTCCAGAGGAGGATCGTGCGCCAGGAGCTGTTGCCGAGGTGGGTGATCACAGTCACAGCACGCTGCCATCCACGAAGACTCTAGGTGTCACCTGGAATGCTGAGTCCGACAAGTTCCTCTTCGTCTTCTCCGGCTGCGCAGCTGAGCAGATGACCAAGAGGACAGTCCTGAAGGAGATGTCCACAGTATTCGACCCGCGAGGACAGATCTGCCCGTTCACGATTCGCTCGCGGATGATGTTCCAGCAGCTATGCATCAAAGGGTATGGCTGGGACGATCAACTGGACGAGCATGATGCCAAGGCTTGGACGCAATGGTTCTCGGAGCTACCCTCACTCTCAGCAGTCCAAGTCGACCGGTGTTTCAAGGTGGCCACTCTCGACCCCTCCACTGCTGAGATCCAAGTGCACACGTTCACCGACGCATCTGATGGAGCGTACGCTGCTGCTACGTACATACGGTGCCAGTATCCAGACGGAACGGTGAAGACGACGCTAGCCCTGGCGAAGGCGAGACCATCTCCAATCCGCAAGCTCTCCATCCCAAAGTTGGAGCTGAAGGCAGCGGTCCTCGGCACGAAGCTGAGCCTCGAGGTGGAGAAAGCACTCAACCTGCCAGTCCGAGACCATGTATTCTGGACGGACAGTATGAACGTGCTGTATTGGGTCAGATCTCACAGCCGGAAGTTTCAGACCGACATCGGGAACAAAATCTCCGAGATTCACGCCGCTACCTCTGGAGCTCAATGGCGTCATATCCCGGGCCGACTCAACCCCGCAGACCTGCCAAGTCGTGGATTGACAGCGGAGAAGCTAGCTGACAATGAAGTCTGGTGGTCCGGACCGGAGTTCCTGTCGTCGCCTCCCGATCAGTGGCCAATTCGAGAGATCACTGTGCCATCATACGTCGGTGGAGAGACGAAGCGAGCCCTGGCATCTGCGTTTGTCACAACAGCAGCGGAGCCTGCACAGTCTCGCTTGTCACCAGCCAGGTACTCGTCATGGAAGAGACTTCTTCGTGTGACGTGCTGGTGCCTTCGTTTCCTCCGCAACTGCAAGCAGGCAGCTGGATCAACCAAAGCCAGTGCACCTGCCACATCAGATGGATTGCTGCAACCTCTCCCAGCCAGCAGCACAGAGGGGAGTTGCGACTGCAGCGGCAGTTGTGTTCCAGTACCGGAGCTGTCGGCCGAGGAGATGGTACTTTCAGAGAGGTACTGGCTCTCCGTTTCTCAACGCGAGTCCTATGGGCGCACCATCAGCCGTCTTGAGCGTGGCCAACCACTTGAGAATGGCGATCCGCTGCTGCCACTGAATCCAGAACTGGATACAAGTCAGCATCCTGCAGTGCTGATAGTCGGCGGACGGCTCGATAATGCTAGCACGAAGGTTACGGCATGCACACGCCGGCCCGTGATTCTCCCACCTAAGCACCAGATCACCTCACTCGTCATAGCATCGGAGGATGAGAAGTGTCATCACGAATTCGGAGTCAACTATCTACTCGCAAATCTCCGACAACGCTATTGGATCGTCCGCGGGAAGCAGGCAGTGAAGTCGCATCGACACGGTTGCAACGGCTGCAGACGACGGTGGAACAGGCCAGCATCCCAACTCATGGGACAGCTTCCTGAGCAGCGTGTCGCTATCACTGAACGAGTGTTCTCTGGCGTTGGCGTGGACTACGCCGGGCCGTTCTCGACAAGGCAAGGCCGTGGACGAAGCCGTGCCAAGCGTTATCTCTGCCTATTTACGTGTCTGGAGACACGTGCGTGTCATTTGGAAATGGCTTACGACATGACGGCGCAGGGGTTCTTGATGTGTTTCTCCCGATTCTGTAAGAGGCGAGGCACACCGAAGGATGTCGTCTCTGACAACGGCACCAATTTCGTCGCTACTGAAGCAGAGCTGCGAGACGCCGTGGAAGAGCTGGAGCACTCTGAAGATGTTGCGGCAGACATGGCGTCAAACAAGATCAACTGGAGATTTAATCCACCAAGCGCGCCACATCACGGAGGTGTGTTCGAGTCTATGATCAAGCTGGCGAAGCGTGCAGTGTACGCCGTTCTCGAAAATGGAGTGTGCAGTGATGAAGAGCTTGCGACCGCATTCGTTCATGCGGAGGCTATGCTGAACGCCCGACCTCTTACGAGTATCAGTGACGATGCCGAGGATCTAGAGCCGCTAACGCCACTGCACTTCCTCGTGGGTCATCGCGATATCCACCACGCCATCGATCATCTGGAGCCTGACGGACAGCCTGATCCACATGACAGGTGGAGAGTTGTACAGCGCCTAACTCAAGACGTCTGGCGAAGGTTGGTGAAGGAGGTGGTTCCAACGTTGAACGTCCGGCAGAAGTGGCAGCAGAAGAAACGCAACATCAAGGTGGGCGATGTCGTCATCTGTGTTGACGCACACACCCCTAGAAGTACCTGGCCACTCGGTCGAGTGGTTGCTGTATACCCGGCTGAGGACGGTTGTGTACGCGTAGTGGACGTCAAGATCCGCAAGCGGGTGTACCGACGTGCTATCAATGTCCTGATTCCACTCGAGAGTGAGCAGTGAACTGTTAGCAGTAGTGAACAGTTTCGCTCCGTGTGAACTGCTAGCAGCAACGAACAGTATTGTACAACAAAGTGACATGTTCTTAAGGAACATTGATATGGTCATGCACCCGACTTGGAGATCATTATCTGCTGTTTTTCTCATCATCTTAAAATTCAAAATTGTTCTTAGGTGACAGTCCAATTCTCCGGCGTTGGCCGTTCCACTCAAGTTTGGTGCAGCGTTCAATCCATGCTATACATGTAGTGTGATCTCTTCTGTTTACGTTAGCTTGCTCTCATCCGTCAACCATAGTTCTGCCTTATTCGAGCAAAGAGGGGAGAAATGTATGATTTATGTGTCTGTTTTCACTACAATCATTCTCTAGTTCTGTAGGTCATGTATGGTATCACTCATGCGTGAAATCATGTGATCATCAACCCTGTTTTTCCCGGGCTTGTGCTCCTGTGCACGAGACGTATGCTTCAGATGTATGGCCTTTTTCCCGCTGCACGGCATCTCACGTGCAGAGTTTTTCCGCGTGCAGTGCTCTAGCAGCTTTGGTTTTGTTGTTTTGTTTTCTCCTTGTCTTGAAAAGAGTTCATGGTGAACAGTGGTTGAATCCAATTCTAAGTTTCTTCTCAGTTTTAGCAGTGTCTTATGTTTGATATTCTTAGTGCATACAGTCTTCCAGAGAAAGAAAACAAAAGTAAATAAACTCACTCGAACGATTCTTGGCTTCCGCTGCGTTGAGCTTTTCCAATGCTGCAAACGAACACACACAGAAAAAGCAGATTATTAGCTGTACACATTCACAACACTGACTACACTCTTCATGTGCATTCAAAAAGAACATGTCACAGCACTCACACTTTTTCCTTAACATTTTCCCCTCTCTCTCTCTTTCGCTCTTTTACGCATGTGTCTTCATCACGTTCAAATTTCATACCACTGACAGTGCTATGTTAGCCACTATTGCTGTCAGCCATGACTGCGTGCTTACAGAATAGCAAAGACAAAGAGCAGCACGTCCAGTCCCAAGTTGAACAAAATACAAGAGCAGCAGGCTTCAGGAGCCACGCGCACAACCACAAATAGAGATAACCGTCTCTACAATGTACATGTAGGCGCGTCACTGTGGGTGATTTCATGACATCTCACATTGACTTGAGTGCAAACATTAAACCAAACTGGCAAGATGCTGTACAACACCTCACACAAGGAAAGCATCCGACCACAGGTCAGAGACGACGTCCCTACCGTGAGTAAGAGTGTGCTGTGTGATACGGCCCATGGACATCTGTTTTAAACGTTCACAATAGCAACAGCAGCGCACGCTTACACAGCATTCGCCAACGCAAGGGTGTCTTGATGCGGTACTAGCGATACAAAGTGCTTCTGGGCAAATGTACTCAGCTCCTGCATTTGACTGTGAGACGTAGTAACCAATAGCCAGACACAGAGACAGATGGAGACACGGGTTGGACAGATGTACCGGCAGAGAACAGGAAAGATGGACGGACAGACAGGCGGGCAGGCAGGCAGACAAGCAGACAGACAGAAAAGAAAGACAGACCGAGTAAGTAAAACATACACACGCGCAGTCTTTCTCCAAAATCTATCCAGAAATTCAACCGGAGCATACATTTCAGCAGTTTAGAAAGCACGGAAAGAGAAATTCAACTTTCCTTGCGTGTACGAGTAGGGGGTAAGCAAGCACAAACTGATCAAGGTTATGGGTTGTCGATCGGAGCAGCAGAAGAAACACACAGAATGATACCAAGGGCAACTTAGTTAGGACAAATACAGTTGTGGCCATCGGAGGCAGAAGGAACTGGCATCTCGTTATTAGAAGAGAGCAAGAAGCAGCGAACGCGGACACCGGTCTAACCTGGCAGTATAGCACTCTCCGTCTGTCCACACACCCTCCAATCCAACATAGGCAAATGACGTTGCACCCATGCGTAGCTGAAGCTGTAAACAAAACCGCCAAAACAAACCAACAAACCTTGTCGACTGAGCAAATTACAGCTCTGCTGCTGAAACACAGCCCCAAGCCTCTGGTCACATGTTGGTGAAATACATGGCAGAAGCAGCAGCAGCAGCAACAACAGAGCAGCAGCATGGATGCAGAGAACAACACTCTTCCGAAAACACTCTTGAGAGATATCAGTGCAAATATACTTCTCTCCCGTGTAACCTGCATACCTGTACAACCTTTTGCTTGTATCTAGGAAACAGTGACACTACATTGCACATTATACATTACATGTGATTGCTTTACGCAGCATGATACTGTTAGATTACCGTGTTGAGTTTCAGTGATGACATTGTCACTATGATGGACTTGAGTGTATCCTGGAGCACACAGAACAACAAAATTGGGATGAGAAGCAGTAGAGGAACAGTGAAGAAATGAAAAGGGAGAAGGCACACATATCCACTCCACATTATTCCATCAATGACACGAGTGAAGATTTTTCTACTGCCTGTTATTTTCTTGGTATTGCTCAATAAGCAGCGGTGGTTCTTGCAAACCATGCTAAGGCTTTTGTAGTTTCTCTAGAAGCATCCATTGAGCATAGACGAACAGACGACAGTCCACCGAGCTGAAAAGACCTAATGAAACAATGACTCGAAGTCCAAGCAGGCAATATCGTGTATTATCCGTCCACTTGAGCGTGCGGATATAGACATCAGCGGTATGGCCTGCTGAGGAAGGTCGCTGATTGGCTGTAGACAAGGCAACGGTCACGCGGCATGTAATACGCTAGGACCATAGCGTAATACAACTACTAGGTAGAAGGTACCTGCCTGGGAGTTAGGGCTATGAGTTAAAAAAAGGAACGAAAGAGCTTGAAAGCTCAGAGCCCTCGCTATGCTTTCTTTCTACCTAGTCAGCTTGCACTATGATTAGCTAGTAAGAAGTACCAGTTTTACAGATCACTGACCAGAGTGGGCAGGCGTCCTTGCATCAAGTCCAGCATAACTCCACGATACAGCAGGTCAGGCCAATCTCGAATCTGCACAGCAACCAAGGACCACAACATGCACATGCACAAGCACACACACATTAAAAATGAGAATGGAGTATTGCTGCATAAGAACTTGCAGAGTGCTTGTCGTAGTAGTGACAACGCACGGTGACATTCAGCGTGGCATCAAGAGTCCATAACCCCAAGAGTGTCCAATTGGGGTCTGGCTGCTGTCGGCCCACTGCGCGGCGGAATTTCAACATTACGTCATGCCGCTGAGGCACAGAGGCCAAAACTCCGAATTCCGCGGTGCTTGGAACCAGGGAGTAGTACAAGCGCAACCAACGTGTACGTCATTTTTTGATGTAATGTTGGAATTCCGCCGCGCGGATCCCCATGAACAGAGTTGCACACTCTTGCAGTCTTGGGGGTTATGGACTCTTGGTGGCATTGATACAGATGACTGCTAATTCGTTGGCCTTGGACGTGGGGATTGACTGTTGCCAGTTCGAATCTCACATTTGCATGACTTGCGGTATCTTTATAGTGTCTCTATCCTAGTTATGTTGACAATGTATTTAATTCGTCACATACGTTGCGCGGGCATGTGCATGTGTTCACGGCAGTTCTTGCTGTTCTGGTGGTTCTTTCCGAAATTATGACCTGAAGACCATTTTCTCTTTCGTTCCTTTTCTCTTCTTTCCAGCATCCATCGTTGAATTGTGAAACCATGTGTAATGTCAAGAAAGACAGTCTGTGTGAGTGTTATTTGAGAGGCGAATTGGCCCAGTGTTTGAGCTTGTTGAGCAGGTTACCGATGATTCAGGAACAAGCTCAAACAGCTGGCAAACTCAGTTTCCCTCAAGAAGGCAACATTAGCAAATCCAGTTTCCCTCGAGCAGACACCTGTACTTACATAGAGCGGGGGAATTGTGTTTTTGCCTTCACTGACGTAAACACGGAGAAGCTGCGCCAGGGTCTGAATGCCATACCAGAGGCCGGCTAAATCAGAGGCCTCCAGTCTAATCTGTAACGGCAAAACAAAAATACAAAAACACGCGTCAGAAAAACCCACTATGACCAACAGCTCCTTACGTCTATGAAGAGCCCAAGCAAAGCAGATGTGCGGGCGTGCGGCGTGCGTCTGCCTGTCGCCGGCTGAACGCAGCCATAATCTGACACAATGTTGAGAGTGAGGCATGTGATTGCACTCCGTAATCCCTGCCCTCAGTTGACAAAAGCAAGGTTCAAACATGACATGATGGTGTAAAGACAGCCTCATCTCAAGGAACGCTTCACATAGTAAGAAAGGGAACAGTGAGCTACTACGGAATAGACAAGACAAGAGTGAACTTTTGATTGCGCTCGAAACATAACCGGAGATTGTCAGTGTGAAATCTGAAACGAGGTATTTGAAGGACTGAAAAGGAAGTTTTCTCTCTAATCACCACAACAAAGAGAAGAGACCTTGTACTGCTATGATAAGCCTGGATAAAGTAACGTCCGCAAAGAAAGTCTTGAGTTGAATAAGTCAAAAACCTAGCTGGGACAAATGGACGGTCATGCTGAAAGAACAAGCCGTGAACACAGGCAGGTGTACCACATTGGTAAACTCACTCTTTCTTGTGAGATGGTCAGATTGTAGCTATCAGAGGATGAGAAGAAGTCCGAATTGACAACTAGAATTAGGGCACCGTCAAGGAGTCCTCCATCTGCAGGAATAGTATAAGAAGAGAGAGAGAGAGAGAGAGAGAGAGAGAGAGAGAGAGAGAGAGAGAGAGAGAGAGAGAGAGAGAGAGAGAGAGAGACAGAGAGAGACAGAGAGAGACAGAGAGGGAGAGACAGAGAGGGAGAGACAGAGAGACAGAGAGACAGACAGAGAGACAGAGAGAGAGACAGAGAGAAACAGAGAGACAGAGAAAGAGAGACAGACAGAGACAGAGAGACACACACACACATACAGAAACAGGCAACAGAAACACAAAGCAGAATGAGATACAAATATAAAATTCAAATGGGTGACCGAGTGAATGGGCGGGCGGCAAGGGAAATATAGGCGAGACGGCACAACGTGGAACACAACGAGTAACGTGCAATGACCACATCGGCGACAGAGGAACAACACACCGGCATGAAAACTGCGAAATGTGTGCAGGAGATTGGTGCTGACTGGAAACTCAAACCCCAACCCAATATGGGGGGGGGGGGGAGGAGGGAGGGATCTCAACCTGCTGCAACACTATGTCAAAGGACGACGGACACGGCACAAAAGAAATCGAACCCGGTCTTACCTGTTGGCAAGACTGATAGATTAGTGGCACGGCATGATTCTTCAAACATAGGTAATGCGTACGTGAAGACTTCAAGAACAGACGAAAACGGTTCTGAAACACACACGGCAGACAAAGCAACACAAAAAAGAATGAGCTACCGCCCAAAACTAGCCAAGCGGTCCCGGGAAGAAACCAGGAGGAAGCTAACTGGAGAACCAAGAGAACAACGCCAAGGGGCACCAAGAAAGATGAGCAACATGAGCATATCCGTCCCGGGATCCAATGGAAACAACTCCCACGTCAGAGAAAGGTGAAATGTGTGTACAGCGCATGATACAGTAAAACTCCCCAAATCCACTGGGACCGAGCACTGCCCGTAACTAGGAATTGCCCGGAATTTGGAAGCTGGAACATACATACTTTTTAAAATGCACACGAGTTAACAATTTTTATGACAATCCATCGTTTTGGGGCCGTTTTCATTGAAAAAGGCAAGTTAGTGACTCTTTGAGGGTCAGAAAGGTGCCTGGTAGACGGACATGCCCAGATAATGGGCGTCCGGATCTTGGGAGCTTTACTGTACAGTAATAACACAGCAGGGTGTTCAATCAGGGTACAGCCGCCTATATAGACACACACCACTGGCAGCATCGACAACATTGCTATACTGCACTGCTGCAGTAGCATGCCTATGATCCGTGTCCTCCCTCCTTGTATATCATCTATGAGCGAGACCTTACCTGTGCTGTCCATAAGGTGATAGAGAGCTGGGAAACGAGGGCGAAACTCGAAGCCGGGGCCGTCGACGCAGCGCACAATGGACGGCGGCGGCCACAGCACCTGCAGCGGGTGGCCTTCCATTTCATCCTGCACAGTGGACATGGACGCAGCGGGTGCAGATGCTGACGGTACCTCCTCAATGCCACTCATAGCTGTGCCAGCAGCAGCAGCGTCAGTAGCACCGCCAGTGTTGCTACCATTAGCTGGTATTAATGGTGGTAATAACGTCATGACCGATGGTGACCCGCCATTGCCTACACGGCAAGTACACAAGAAAACAAGAAGAAAATAGTACACTCGTGATAATTATAGAAAGTAGAACAGACTGAACATCTATTTCTCCTTCTCCTCTCCCTCACTCACATGCATGCACACAAACGCATGCACACATGTTTGTTTTAGTAACGGCTGTAGCAACAATAATGACAAAATGCACCTCCAAGCACAACAAGTGCATACGACTCGTATGTGAACATTGCACATACTTAGGTTAAGCTCAGACCAGGAATGAGGTGCTGGGACAAGGTCTTGTACACTTGATCCCGCTTTCGGCCTACAGAAAACAAATAAAAGAAAACACATCAAAATACTTAACAATATTTTTTTAAATCGATGCACACTACACAACTTGACAATTTGTGACTAAAAGCATGCAAGTGGTATGATGTGCATTCATTCCAGGCCTCTGCCTAACCCATGGCAATGTCACGTGTCAAGCAGCACACCAGATTCAAAGACCTGCAACAAGCACACACACACACACACACACACACACACACACACACACACACACACACACACACACACACACACACACACACAGAGTCTCCGCCGGCACCAATGAAACTTACCCGAAGTCCACACGGGTGTCCGCATCAGCACCGCATTCCATAAGGTACTGCACAATGCCAACATCCCAGCGCTTAACTGCCTCGTGAAGCGGAGAGAAACCGTCACCATTGAGAACGTCTAGCTTGGCATTTTGTGCTACAGGTGCGCGTGCACACAAAAACAGCAGAGACCGAAGAGTACATGGAAACAAACACACAACACAAGATAGCATGATAGACACGAGCGTTGTGTTTATCAAGTTGCCTACTAGTACCACCCGGATATCTGTAAAATAGAGATCGGCCATATCACACAGTGCCGACCAGCTCATGAATGCAGAGTCATTACGACGATACAGAACAAGACTAGTTCAACACCGTAGCAGCGACCTAGACTGACCGATACAGTACCAGTAGCGACAGTGCATACCGCGGTAGCTAGGGGTGAAACGGTTACCCTTTAAGGTTACAAACGGGTACCTGGTTTAACGGGCGGGTTATCGGGTACCCTTTAGCAGCCAATAGTGGCAGTTACTATACAATTTCTGCCAGGAGGACATGCAAAGTCATGCAATTCACAGCAAGTGCACTACATGGCGACAAGCGCAGCATGCACACTTGCTGCGCTACATGCAAAACAGTCAAAATTGTCTAATTTAGCAGGATCGAACAAGCAACAACACATTCAACCTGTACATCAAATTGAACAACTGTGCAAATCAGCTAATATTACCGTACTGTACCGTCGTACACGACTAACGGGTACTCGTTTGCTAACGGGTCAGCAGCTAAACAAACGGGTACCCGGATCACCCCTTTCACCCCTAGTGGTAGCTATTGGGGAACAGCGACTTACAGAGCAGCAGCTTCACACCAGGCAACGTGCCGCAACGACAGGCCCAGTGCAGCAGCGTGTTGAACTGGTCATCTTTACTGGTGTGATTCACTGACATGCCAGACGACAGAATCTGCTCCAGAACACTCATACTGTGCAAGCACAGCACAAACACAACAACAACAACAACAACAACAACAACAACAACACGTTTGCAAGTAGAAGCCACACTAATCTTGTCTATGGAGGCATTCACCACATGTTACAAATGAATGTTCCATACCATTTTTGTTTAATTTCGCTAAATATTTCAAGTGACAAGGCTGCATATGAAATCAAACTACGTACTATAGTGCGTTTCAAAAGTCCAGACCTCTGGTTTCAAGAAACCGTTAGGCCAGCATCTATACCACATAAAATCTATGATTCCTTTGTGCATAAAATTTCCGAAATTGGGCTTTTGTTATCCAATTGCTTAGAAATGTTTACTTTATATGAGAAAAATTGCGGGAGCTGCCTGAGCAATATTCCAAAGAAATTTCTCAAAAAGCTTAACCAAATTTGAATTATTCCAAAAAGTCTAGAGGTCTATACTTTTGACACGCACTGTAAACCAATCTTTATGAACAGAACATATGGTGGATAGTTAGTACAAATGAAAAAGTGTGTATGAAGGAATTGAGGTAAACACGTACGGACTTGTCCATAAAAGAGAGAGAGAGAGAGAGAGAGAGAGAGAGAGAGAGAGAGAGAGAGAGAGAGAGAGAGAGAGAGAGAGAGAGAGAGAGAGAGAGAGAGAGAGAGAGAGAGAGAGAGAGAGAGAGAGAGAGAGAGAGAGAGAGAGAGAGAGAGAGAGAGAGAGAGAGAGAGAGAGAGAGAGAGAGAGAGAGAGAGAGAGAGAGAGAGAGAGAGAGAGAGAGAGAGAGAGAGAGAGAAAGAGACCTGATTTTCAGAATGACAAGCACCAACCCGCATGTGGTTTCTTACTTTCCCACAGCGATAGCCTCCATGGCATGAGCAGCAAATGGCCGCTGCAGCTGCTCAGTCGTCGCCAACTCATATGCCGATCTGCCGGAAGTGTTCCGAAGCGCTGGATCAGCTCCGGCACGCAGCAGTGCACGTACAATATCAGAGTGGCCTTGCTGCATGCAAAGAATACATATGTTGAGTGTTTCACAACAGCAGACGGACGGAGCGAATCGGATTCGAGGCAAGGTTTTCAGTACAAGTCGTCAGAGAGAGCTTGTGGACCTAACACATGTATATGTTTCACCAATGTAAATGTATGCATACTTCAAATAGAAAGTATACGAACCCTGAAACCAACAAAGGTGGCAGGTACAACAATACATCTGCAAGCAGCGGAGCCCATTGGCAACAGAGCTAACACCATCTGGCATAAGTGCACCTAAGGACCCAACTAGCTGGCACACAAACACACACACACGCAAACCTCACCAGCACAGCCAGATGAAGGCATGTGTTGCCACCAGCTAGCTGCCGATTCAGCACGCGATTCACAACACCTGCCTGGCCATCATGTAGATCTGGCAAAGCAACAGGAAAAAGGGCAAAAACAAATTCCAAACACTCTAGTTAAGAATCATCAAACCTACAAGTGTAGTGTGGTTCCATTTAGCCTATGTGTGCACATATTCATGTACAGCAACATGAAAACGAAGACTAAAATCTATCTTTTAAAGAAGAGGAGAAGAAAGACAACGATGATTGTGGACGGACTACCCCCCCCCCCCCTGAAGAAGTGAATGCTTTACTCAGCTTTGTACCGAGTTGTCAACTCAGTCACGCCGCCCGTCCACAAGGTGCTCTCGGCCGACCCATTCGCACTGGAACATCACCACCAACAACCCCATTGATATCTTGATATTGCAGACCCTTTCGACTGGTGTTTCACTCCAACAGAACTTTACAGTCATCAGTGGAGATAGTACATGTAGACAATGGATGATATGAAGTGAATGAATGTTATACAGTATAGGGCGAAACCAACGCAATTGCGCACTTTCTACTGCGAAGCGAGACATGCCCTAAGAAGCTGATTTGTCGAAGATAATAACAGTTCGAACAGATGTGACCGTGCAAGCGCGCATTGCTGAGGCATACATGTAGCATGCAGTGCTAGAAAAGGTCCATGCCATTGCACTGGTGTTTTCAGGATCATAATCTCAGTTATTGTTGCCGTTTCTATTTTGAGTCGTGAAAGTTCTTTAGGCTCTGTTTTTCGTCCCTTTCTTTGTTTTTACGCTGGATGACGTAAACGTGCCAGCATTGAAGAAAAGTGCCCTCTCTTGAATAGTGCCTCATCTGTCATGAACTTTGAAACAACACTGGTCCAGGCCTGGGGCACTAATCGGTGAGTACGGTATTATTATTGTTATTATTATTTAGAAAAGCGATCCTGTCAGCTTTTCTATTATTGTTTATTATTTAGAATGCAGAATGTAGAAGGTAGAAGGTAGAATTCGAATTTGCCGAAGAAAACTAAGCAACGCTCATGCTCAATGCTAGGCCACTACATTTCAGAATATTCAAACAGAGAACAGAAGAAAATAATGCAATTAATTAGCGCAAATGATTTCTCAATGAAACCCACTCGAGGATACAAATTCTAGATTGATCGAGAACAAAGGAGGACTTACGACTGATTGCAATGTCGATTGTACGCACAACAACATCAGTTCGGCCAATTCGAATGGCTTCCTCGATGTTTTGAACAGCTCCTTCAGCCACTTGGCTGTCCTCTGCTGGTCTTTCGTCCATCAGAGAAGTTAATTTGGTAATTACTAAATTAGGTGGGGAACGTGTGAGGCACTCAATAAAAGAATGAGAAGTATTTCTGATGTTCCATCTACTCGCAAAATGCGTGGAAATTTCTTCTGCACTGGTCTCTAGCTCTGGCGATCTCCACTCCAAGAAATTAGTCGTAACTACTATCAAGAGTCCATACACTTTGATGGACTCTTGCTACTATCGTAATGTCAGGACAAATCAACAACAATGCTCAGTACGAGATTTCACCCCAAACTGGGCCAAAATCTATGCGAAATGGAAACAAGCGCTAGCTGGGCTAGCGCTGCAGCCAGGCCGGCCTGCACTTTCACAGGACACGGCTGTTTTTTTGTGCGATTTCACGCCATTTACCAATATGGCCGCCGAAAGTCTCGATTGGGCTTCGATGGCAAGAAAATTTGAATTTTCAAATCGTCAGAACACGAGTAGGCCATGGTTTCCACTGGATTTCGGAGACTAGTCAGCCCGGACAGCCCGGGGAACACGCTGATCATCTGCGTCTTGTTTCAAGCTTTCCGCTCGTACCTCACATGACTGCCTTTCCTTCAAGAAACATTTGTTCTGTGTCGTGCGACTTTGGCTTCGTTCTGGAATACTCCTTGTGTCGTCGCTGACAAACTCGGCTCCGAGAAGCCCTTCCCGATTTTTTCCCAGCTTAGATCGATTTTTTCCCAGGTAGAGGACTATCCTCTGGTTGTCTTCCCCAAGTGTCATTAGAATACGCGCGTGAACTTCTAAATACGCGCGACGAGTCAGGAACCTGTTTCTCTTGATTTGGAAGACAAAATGGTGTGGCCATTTAGTTTCTGTTGAGTGTAGAAGGCTGCTTCCTGCTGTAAATTGCTTAGTCGGCATGTGGGATATTGTAGAAGAAGACAGCAGGCGGCCAAGTGAGCTTGAAATTGTGATATCTACCCTATTGTGCGTTGAACGATTACGAAATGTCTAACTTGAATGTTGTACACGCGAGCACGCCAAGCAGAGGCTGACAATCACTGGCGAGATCAATCTCCAGACTGCCAGGAGTAGTTCGAGCAAGTTTGAAGCGGAAAGACAGCTAACTGGGCAGGCCAGGACGCCTTTCCACCCTCTTTCTCTCTCAAATTGCCGAAAAGTCGAGTATCTCGCTCGAGGGCTTTCAAAACTTTTCTCTTGGTTTCGCGTCCCAAATCGTGGAACCACGCGAGGATCGACATGAGTTTCTTGCAAAAACGCAAACTCATCGCGTATTTGTACTATTCGCACAATATTACATAAATCGCACCGAACGACGCCATATTGATAAGTGCCTGCACGTGAACAGCCGTGAGGATCTACACACTGTACAAAGTACGAGCGTAGTAGTCCTAGGGCCCATTTGAAATTTCTCACTTTTACTTGACACATGTTTGCTAACATAGATTTTATGATCATTCTTGGATGGTTTTTGCCTCCTGAACACGATGGCATAGGTTTCGATTGCCGAATTGTGTCCGAACATGGTGAAAAACATCAAAATAGAAAAGACCGTTATTACTATAGCAACCCAACTAGAATTGCTCCTATATCCATTTTTACTGACATGTATATGGCCAAGTAGCACCTCATTTTGCTCAGAATAAGCAGTAGATACACTGTACAGTACGGCAACAAGTACTGTACTTTAACAGTGTCAAAACAAAATTTCCAAAGTGCAGTGAAACTACTTGGCTTTTGGACATGTTCATGTACATTTACATGTCGCGTCGAATGTTAGCATTGAGGTACGTGTACATGTATGTGCAGCTAGCAGGTACATGAGACTATTTACAGGCATGCATTATTATAATAATCAGACTGCAAACACGAGGGAAGCGTCAGACGGTTCGGCGTTACACTTCAACTGAGAGAATAGGTATTGTCAAATACTAACAGGAGAAGGAAAAGGTGGTAGGAAACTGTCAGAGTCTAAGGAACGAAGTGCTATAGGACAGTTTCAACCTGAACTAATTTACTCGAAGTACGTGTAGATAATACGATAGATCTTGCAGCAATATAAGAAGAACAACACTACTTGTATGCGATGGCAGTGCTGTAACGAAAAATGATGAAAATGAAAATACCAAAATCCTTTGCATAAAACAGTCCAAACATTGGCTAGCTTGTCATTCAAGGCTGCAGTTGGACAACGCTCACATGTGAATAGCTGCAGTTTAAAAAGCTGATCGATCCCAACATTGTGATACGAATACTTTCACTTCCATGTGTTTTGGGAGAATCGTACGTCGCAATCGAGCTATGTCGTTGCTGTGTCATCATCTATGTGCCATGCGCTACTTGATGTACCGGCCTGCTATGCCGGATACCGCCAGCCATGCATCGACCAGGTGCCAGGCGCGAACTGATGGTGGTGGTGGTGAGAAGGAGAGCTCTGTGCCAGAACTTTGCAGCCTAGAGAGCGTGTGTGGGCAGGCGTGTGTTTACCGCCATATTGCCAGGTGTGTCTTTACCACCATATTTAGCAACCATAAGTACAGCTGCAGTGGTGTCTTCAACTTCATTCTCCCGAGTCAAGCTCCGTATGAAGACATCCAAGAAGAAGATTGCCTGATGAGTCCAGCGGGGACGAAACGTACGTCGCAATCGAGCTATGTCGTTGCTGTGTCATCATCTATGTGCCATGCGCTACTTGATGTACCAGCCTGCTATGCCGGATACCGCCAGCCATGCATCGACCAGGCGCCAGGCGCGAACTGATGATGGTGGTGGTGAGAAGGAGAGATCTGTGCCAGAACTTTGCAGCCTAGAGAGCATGTGTGGGCAGGTGTGTGTTTACCGCCATATTGCCAGGTGTGTCTTTACCACCATATTTAGCATCCATGTGTTTCACTTTAACTGAAGTTGTTCTTCCGTCTGAGCTTCGGAAACTCTACGCCGTACAGCTGAGCCCATCTCTACTCCGCCACCTACACCATCACTGTTGGCTCTGCAGTCAGGGACAATTCTTTAGCCACTAGTTCATGAGGTATTACATGAACATGTTTTCCCTCTTCACCACCGCTCTTGAATCGCATCAACTACGTGCAGTGATCAGTTCAGGAGAGACAAGCCACGACATTGGACATCGGACTCTTTCTTGCAGTTAGTGTTTTATAAGTATAACTGTAGTTTCACATTGCCTAGGCCCAGCCATCAAATTCTGCGACAAGGAAATGATTCTTCTACTGCTGGTGTTGCATATTGGGATAGGTTACCTCCAGGTACTCGGATTTCGTTTTTGTAACACTCCACACCACATAGCTACTCCCTCTCACTGCAGCATGGCACTCCTAAGGCAGTTGTCCTAGAGCTGTTGAGCTGGTAAATAGGCTTTGTGCTAATGGTAGCTGATCACCACGGTCGGTGTGTTCAAATCATGGTACTAACACTAGCCGCTCTTGTAGATTCGAATCAAATGCTTGTCCACTGTAACACCTCCTGTGCAGCAGTACTTACAAAGTAAATGCCTTCATTCCAGCCCGATGAAGTTAGCCAGGTCTGAAACTTTCCACGGTTGTAGATTAGTCCTGCGAATAGTTACAACTGGCTTGGCAAGCTATGATGACTTTCCCCTGCTTTCCACACATAATTGTTGTGCTGCTCCTTGTTGGAATCATGCCTACTTTTCCGGGGAGCCAAGATGACATTGTAATGAAGGTTCTGCTGAATTTAGCATCGATCCATTCGTGGACGTTCCCACAGCAAAAGCACCAGCGAGTCAATGCAAAACTTTGAAGAAAGTGTCCAAACGAGGTAACACATTTCTGGTATGTCACAACTACACTACGGTACTTGATGCTCAATCTTTCCAACTCTCGCACAAAATCAGTGTACGCGTCGGTTCGCATCCTGTGTATGTACGGTGTTACTATAGCTCCTGGCACATAAAAGGGTAAAAACTCCCAGGTCCAGTCAATATAGTACCGAGAAAGTCTTGAAAATGCTTGAATATAGCCGATGAGAACTTAGTTTTTTCGGCAATTTTGTATTCCTATCGAGGGTGATTTCGGGACCTTTGGACGCGATTGGACTCGCCATACTGGGCCAAGATGCTCTTGAAGACATTATCTATCAAATAACACCGAAAAATCCTTGTTAGCCAACATGTGTCAAGGCATGTATTTTAGAGGTCGATTTTTTGAATTGGCCCCTGTACTATAGCTTGTAGATTGTAAGTTTCAACAACTGCCAAGCCTCTTATACGGGCAAAATAAACACAATTACGAGTGCAACCTCAACAGCACCGGCAGAAAAACGAGCAAAAAATGGCTGTGAAGACAGTCGAGAGAGCAAAAAATTAATGGCTGTGAAAACAGTCGAGAGAGCAAAAAAAGGCTGAGAGCAAAAATGGCTGTGAAAACAGTCTAGTACGGAGCCTCGGGAGGGAGCTTTAACCGATGCTGCTCATGGCAACCGCAAATCGGGCCGAGTCGTTTGCATCTGAGGGCACGCGGTGCCGATGGCCTCGCAGACTGGCAACAGCTGCACGGATGAGATTGTAGGTGATTGGCTACAAAGTCTGTTTGTATTAAATTTTGTAGTTGTAGGTCTACCGGTACGCGGTAGTGGAATGTATTGTAGTGGCATGCGCCATGGGCCTGTGTAGCATTGAGCATGAGCGGTGCTTAGTTTTCTTCGGCAAATTCAAATTCTACCTTCTGCATTCTAAATACATGTACATGTAATAAACAATAATAGGAAAGCTGACAGGGTCGCTTTTCTAATGATAATAACAATAAGGTACCGGTACCATGCATACTCACACAATAATAGAAAAGCTGACAGGATCGCTTTTCTAATAAATGTACCGCCCGATACGTGATAGCAAGAGTACATAACCAAGAGTGTGCAACTCGACGATCCTCCAGCCCCAGGTTATGACTGTACTCTTGCAGTCTTGGTGATAGCAGAATGGTCGACCTTTTTAGTTTTTACCTTAGATCTACATTCTGACATTGCGCAGTCTACCTGTATCTCAGCTACTACAATAGTAGCAGCTACTACATCAGTAGTCATGTAGTCATGTAGATGAAAGCTTGTAGTAACAGACATGTAGATCTACATGATTGTACTGTAAGCATGGTAAGTGTAAAGGCAGAAGAGAACAGAGACAGCCGGCTAGGTCATCAGTGTAACTGAGTTGTCTGAGGATTGCCTTAGCTTTGCTATGTGCATGAAACGCAGCGTTACAACAATGACCTAGCCGGCTGTCTCTGTTGTCTCTGTTCTCTTCTGCCTTTGTGGTAATGCTCCATCCTTGTGGTGTTGAGCACTCTACTCTAGCCTAGGCAATCTGGGAACTCTCGCTATTGTGATTGTACTGTACTACTACTAGTATTTTGTGCAAGCTGCACTGGCCATGTATCATGTGTGTATATTGATGACAATGATGTACATGTATGCTGACTGACTCATGACTGCAACAATTTAATTTAACAAGTGCAAACTACTGATAGTGATACATGTAGTGATACTCTGTCTCTGATTCTGAAGAGTAAGTGAAGGATGGTAGACTGCCTAGTCATATCACAATAATTTGTTGTGCCTGCAGGCCTGTGCAGTCTGTGTCCTCCCAGGGCCACCAAGAGAAACCCTGATTCATGTCAGTAGAGTGCTGATTATCCGCACCCCTCGGGGCGCAGGGTGTCCGGATGAGGACTATGTTCGGATAAGGTAGCGGTTGCACATTCATCTAAAACATGCCCCTCATATTCTCATCATTTAAAAACTTTCTCATTCTCTTTCTACTGTAGTTCTGCAGTACCACAGACACAGGAACTAGAGACACTTCAACTCCTCTAAAATGACTTTTTTGATGACTTTGTCTCCAACCCATTGCGATGCATCGTGTGTACTGTTGTGCTTCGGGTACGAAAAATCAACAAACAGCAATACTCATCGAGTTTCGACCCTTCAATTCAATGCAAACACTGGCATTTCGGATACTGTAGTATAAATTGATCGTTCGGATAGTTGACGTCGGATAATCGGCATTCTCCTGTCCTGTACTCTTGCTCCCACGGATACTATACCCGAAAGAACTGAGTCACACTGACATCTGCGGACTACTACAAAAATACAAATGAATGTCACTCATGTTGTTGGTTGACATCATGATTGTACAGCAAGTACAGTGTACATGGACTGACGTCTTCCAGCGAATCGGACGCTGGAAGGGGTTATGTACGATCATGTACACGACGCACTCTCTTAGTCTACTCTTACTAATTGTTACTTTCTTAGCCTTGAATGGTATATGTTGTGAGTTTGATACGACCCCGGCTATTTGTTTCTTCTATCCGAACAGAAGAGAGCACATGAGAATGCATCAAACAGTCATAATAATTATCACTCATGATCAGATATTCACTTGACTGATAGCAAACAAGGAGATGGTCTTGTGTTCTTTGAGTGTACATATAAATGCACTGGCAGTCCCCATACGGCGATGGGATTGCAGGGGAGGGCTCACACCGCGGCTAGCACATTGTTAGTACTTCAGTATCCCTGTACCCAGCACCAGGTGGGAGACAATTCGTCAACTACTCGTACATGTGGCGAACGTTATCACCTGTTGACCACCCACTCTGACCTTTTATAAGGAACTTGAAGGCCAGAGATCGAATTCAAACACAATCATGATGACGGATTACATCACTCACTACCGGTACTTCCACGAAACTTGATCTAAAAAGTCCCGACTTCCCACACCCCGTAACAGGCGAGACACAATTGTCTGGCTTGTTCTGTGCCAGGTCACCTGACCACCACGCGACCTGGGAATAAAACACCACAGGGTGGTCACAGTATAGTAGTAGATGAAGCACCTACATGTACATGTAGCTGCGAAGGTGAGGTGGTAAGTCACATCGTATTGCGTTTTCTTTAGAGGCTTATCTCTGGCACACTTTTCATCAAAAACATTGTATTATCCAGTTCTGCACGCTTACAATCATACATGTACATGTATGTTCAAGCGCAGAGCTCTGCTCTAGACTACAGTATGTCTTTACCTCAGGCTTTCTTTGCTCACCTATTGCTCATCACTTCTTTTACAGATATGATATTATGGAAAGTTTGGAACAATAAAAAATTACAAATTACAACCAATGTCCGACAAGGGGGGCCGGAGAAACCTCTTTCACTGCAGCCGCATCCACTGTCGACTGTCACTAGTGACTGCCACGAGTTCATAAGTAACTACTTGAGTTAGTTGTTACTGTATTCCCATGCAATCTTCCTACTGCGGTCAGCGTGGTCACCATGGTCACATGGCCTGACTGGAGCATGAACCAAGTCATTTTGTTGCGACTCCGTGTTTCAAGCGGTAAGGAGATCAGGGATATGGATCACTAGTTCTGGTGCTTGGAGGTTCTCAGATAAAGGATGAAGATAGTTGCATAACAGCGTTATCTAACGCAGTACCAGGGGATGCTTGACAGCTATCAAGAGCCACTGAGCCTCTATCTGCACCGTCGGTAGTGCATGTACATAATATGGCTGATGGGGAATGGATATCATTATCACCATCACAATCTGCAAACTCACTTATCAAGATTGCTAGAATATGCATAGGTTCAAAACAACACTTTCTCGTGGTGAGGCAGTCATGAGAAATTGAGTGAACATGTACAGGATTGGAAGAAGGAAAACTGGATTGGGCGAAAAAGATAACAAAGGCTAGAATATTGATTTCGTCAGGCAGACTACCAGCCATTAACGTGCATGGCAGAAGACAACACAACAGAATAGTTATGGTCCCGCGAACGTGAAGTTTAATTAATTTTAAAAGTAAGTTGCGAACGCAGTAAAGGCATCACGGAGCAGGTTTTCCTAGCCGACGGATCTACATGATTGTACAGTCATGTAGATGTAAGTTCGGCAATACTGTATAAGTACAAATTTTTCGTTTGGAATTGACTTTCGCTATTTTCGTTAGGGGGCACGAAATAACGAAAGTTTGTACCAAACTAAAGTTGTTTTTTTCTGAACGTTCGGGGTGACAGACCTCGACCAAAAACGAAATTTAGTACGTAACAAGCCTGCTGGTGGAGTGATCTAACGAAAGATTTCGTGAACGGAAATTTGCACTTACCGGTATACAGTATACGACTACTCCATAGCACACTGGGAGCAAGGGTAATCGTTTTAAAGCCACTCAGGCTACAAAGTATTGAAGGTATGGCTACCGGGGATGCGCGGCCATCCTGAGGTTTTGCACTGACAAGGACAAAGATAAGATGAGTTGAGATGAAAACGGAACTAATACGTCGGTGCGCAAATACTAATACCAGTATTAGATTGTGCTGATAGACTAGACTGAGATTGACGAAAGGCAGAAAGCGCAATTGTGTGAGATACGTGTACATATAGGTGTCGTAATTGGGTAAAGCAAAGTTTCTGATCCTACCAGACCTCAATCACTTGATTAGAAAAATGGTAAGTCAGAGCAACACATGATCAACACAATGAAAGGTGACGCACGAAACTCCGGCATGGTATTCACCCCCCTCCCTCCCTTGGATTTCAGCTCCACGTCTGCCGAATCGACATCATAATGACGTCATGCTCATATTGTATGACTTGACGGCGACCTGCCCACAATACCTCTGGCGCACTCCATCTCCCTTCTCCGCTTGTGTTTAGCTGTCTTCGTTTTGTTGGGCTGATTGACCTACTTCGTGGATCGTGGTGGACGTTTGAGGTACTGTCTCAGCGCTCTGCAGAATGGCTTGGAGGACCCTGGTGCCTCAGCCACTGGTAGCGAGCGCAGTATCGACCCTTCTCGTAGCTGCGTGTAGCTTGGTGATTCTGGCTGAATTAGGAGGTGCTACGCGTTTCAATAAGTGGAATGAATCGCCGTCTAGCAGCAGAACAGCACACAGTGCAAGCAAGCACACATTGGGACACAACCGCCCCAGAGAAACCAGTCATGATGCTGGTCCGGCGATCGTGAGCGCTAAGCTATCTGTCAACGCATCTGTGCCACGAGGGGAGCTGGGCGGACTGCTGTTCGGAATCTTCCTCGAAGAGATCAACCATGCGGGAGATGGTAAGACTGACGCAAATTCACCATAAGAGAAGAGTGAATGGTGATCATGCACCCCGCTAATTCGTCTGAAGGGGTTCCGCTGCAAGCAACACGTTATCCCGAACTACATTGTAATGGGATCAATCTCAAACCTCTGGTAGGGTATATCATTCATTCCAGATGTCACCAGACACGGGGGAAGCTGGAACGGAGCACATCCATTAACTCACCCCCCGGCCAACAGGCCTGCGGAAATGATCCAATGAAGTAATGTTACACCTAGCAGGATTGTGCTTATCCGTAACCATAGTCGCACAGGTTCATTAGACACAGGTACTACGAAGCAATCACGAACAAGGATACTGTATTAACTAGTTTAAAGCAACGGACAGCCATATCACTGAGCCCATACGAATTCATAT